GTGCAGACATTTGGAACGCAAAAATAACCCAATGTACCAAATTTCAGCATATTCGGTTGAAAAACACGCTCAAGAACCCCCAAAATTCCGAAAATTGGGGGAGCTACCCGAAAAAAATGGACTTATATTTATAATTTTTAATGGAGAAATTTGGTACCCGAAAAGAACCCAATGTACCAAATTTCAACGAATTCAGTTTAAAAACGCGCATAAAATCGCCAAAATGCCGTAAATAAGGGGTACCGATATTTATAATTTGTCGTGCAAACATTTGGTACCCAAAAATAACTTAATGTACCAAATTTCAGCGAAAACTGGTCCGATATTTATAATTTTTAATGGAGACATTTGGTACCCGAAAAGAATCCAATGTATCAATGCGCACTCCAGAAATCCAAAATTTCGAAAATTGGGCGGTACCCTTATATGGGGGCTAAGCTTAAACGTGGACCGATATAGCCCATTTTCGAACTTGACCTGCCTGCAGACAAAAGACGACTCTATGCAAAAAATACAGACGCAGGGACATGGCTAGATCGTCGTAGAATCAAGAAGAATATATATACTTTATAGGGTCGAAAATTAATATTTCGATGAGTTACAAACGGAATGACAAACTTAATATACCCTCCATACTATGGTGGAGGGTATACAAATCCACGTCTATATTAAAATATTCTTTAAAAAATCCACGCCTTGTATTGGTCCTTGAAAAAATATTCTTTAAAAAATCCACGCCTTGTATTGGTCCTTGAAAAAATATTCTTTAAAAAATCCACGCCTTGTATTGGTCCTTGAAAAAATATTAGTTAAAAAATCCACGCCTTGTATTGGTCCTTGAAAAAATATTCTTTAAAATCTTCACGTCTTTGGAAGAAATTGAAAAAATATTTTTTAAAAAATCCACGCCTGTGGAAGACATTAAGAAATTTTCTTTAAAAAATCTACGCCTTTTATTAGACCCTGAAAAATATTCTTTATAAAATCTACGCCTTTTATTAGACCCTGAAAAATATTCTTTATAAAATCCACGCCTGTGGAAGACCTTGAAAAAATATTCTTTAAAAAATCCTCGCCTATTGAGGACCTTGACAAAATATTCTTTAAAAAATCCTCGCCTATTGAGGACCTTAACAAAAATATTCTTTAAAAATAGTCGCCTATTGAGGACCTTAACAAAAATATTCTTTAAAAAATCCACGCCTGTTTAGAACCTTGAAAAAATATTCTTTTAGAGGTTTTCCCTTAAAGCCTTTCATTCCCAATAAGAATTTTCCACCCCTCAAAAAACTTGTCGCACAGTGTAATATACTCAACACATTTACATACTTACAATTGTAAATTTGTAATATTCTTTTTTTTCAAAAGAACACCCACATTTCCTTGTCCTCATTTAATTGTTGGCTTGACGTCTGGCCGTATTCACTTCTGAATATTTTTATTTTATTTATTTACATTCATTTACATTAATTACTATTTTCTTTGCTTGGTTTTTCTTCCTCCTGCTGTTGTTGTTGTTTTTATTATATTATTGTTTCTTTTTTTTGTCAATATTGTGTAGACGGCAACCCAATTTGCTGTCTATTAAAAATTATATATTCGAAATGTTACGCCAAATCATGAATCCCTTAAATGTCAAGTCATTTTCACAAGTAATTATCATAACTAAGATGTTTCAATTAACCCATTAGGGAGGAGTGATATAAATGAAAAAATATTTCAATTTTTTGAAGAGTACATCAATATTTTTTATAAAACAAATGATTCCTAAAATTGTGTCATTCGGCAACAAACAACCTGGGGTTTTCAAAAAGAAAATAAACCTCAACGGCTCTTAGTGGGACAATTTTATTTTTTTAATTTGTATTCTATCTTTGCAGCTCTATAATATTTACAAGCACGTTTCGGCTAAAATTAGGTTAGGCGATCGTGTGAAGTCTTAGATAAAGGGAAATTACATTTTATAATGTCATTTCGAATCTTTTAGCATGAAATAATAGGAGATAATTGGTTCAACTTCGGCTTAGTTCCCCCTATCCTAGCCATCTTGACATATTTAATATATATTATCCCGATATATATCTTCCGTGTTCAATACCATTGTATGACATAACAATTCATGCAAATTGTCATTGTCAAAAAAAGACAACAACAACTTAATGTTCTTTTTGTTGTTGTTGTTTTTTGTTAACAATTTAGAGCACATACAGTAATTTTCCAAAATGAAAAAAAAACACAAAGATAATTTTTTTCATTTAGTTGTTTTTAATGAATATTTTAACAACAGATGTTTTTTTTTTTGAAAATATCAAATACGAGGGTAGTACAAAAAGTTTTCAATTTTTTGAAAATTTAATTTTTTTTCAAGGCGTGGACTATAGGAGTGGATTTTTTAAATTATTTTTTTTTTCAAGGTTTATAGGCGTGGATTTTTTAAATTAATTTTTATTTAAGGACCCATAGGATTTTTTTAGGTTAATTTTTAGCAAGGATAATAGGCGTGTTTTTTTTAATAATTTTTATTAAGGACCCATATGCGTGGATTTTTTAAAATTATTTTTATCAAGGCGTGGATTTTTAAAATTATTTTTATCAAGGCGTGGATTTTTAAACTAATTTTTATTAAAGCGTGGATTTTTATACCCTTCACCACACTGTGGTACAGGGTATTATGTCTTTGTGCATATGTTTATAACAGGCAAAAGGAAACTAGATGGACACATGGTTCGTTTTGAGAATATGCATAGAATCACTTTCTGAGTCGATTTATGCATGTCCGCCCGTCCGTCTGTCCATGTTAAATTGTAAACAAAGTTCAGGTCGCATTTATGATCCGATTTGGATGAAATTTGGCACAGCTCACTCATTTGGCCCAAGGACGAACCCTATTGAAATTGGGAAAAATCGGTTCAGATTTAGATATAGCTCCCATATATATTTTCGTCCGATTTAATGTAAATGGTGCACAAAAGTCTCTATATATCTTTCGATTTGCACGAAATTTGGCATAGTGTACTGAAAATCGGTTCGCATTTAGATATAGCTCCCATATATATTTTCGTCCGATTTTAGGTAAATAGTGCATCAAAGTCCCTAAATATCGTTCGATTTGCACGAAACTTGGCATAGTGTACTGAATAAATTCTAGAATGATGTGTGTTAAGTTTCGTAAAAATCGGTTTAGTTATAGATATAGCTCCCATATATACTTTCGTCCGATTTAAGGTAAATGGGACACCAAAGTCTCTATATACCTTTCGATTTGCATGAAATTTGGCATAGTGCACTGAAATAAGTCTAGAACGATGTGTGATAAATTTCATGAAAATCGGTTCAGATTTCGATATAGCTCCCATATATATATTTCCTCTGATTTAAGGTAAAAGGGGCATCAAAGTCCCTTTATATCCTTCGATTTGCACGAAATTTAGCATTAGGTACTGTATTAGGTCTAGAATGATGTGTGCTAAGTTTCGTAGAAATCGGTTCAGATATAGATATAGCTCCCATATATATTTTCGTCCGATTTAATGTAAATGGTGCACCAAAGCCCCTATATATCTTTCGATTTGCGCGAAATTTGGCACAGGTTAATAAATTAGGTCTAGAATTATGTGTGCTAAGTTTCGAAAATCGGACCAGATTTAGATATTGCTCCCATATATATTTTTGTCCGATTTTATGTAAATGGTACACCAAAGTCCCTATATATATTTCGATTTGGACGAAATTTTTCATAGTGTACTGAATTGAGTTTAGAATGACGTGTGTCAAGTTTCGGATCAGATTTAGATATAGCTCCCATATACATTTCGTCCGATGTAAGGTAAATTGTGTACCAAAGCCCATATATATCTTTCGATTTGCACGAATTTTGGTATAGCGCACTAAATTTAGTCGAGTGAGCTAAGTTTCGTGAAAATGGGTTCAGATTTAAGGTAAATATTACACCAAAGCCCCTGTATTTCTTTCAATTTGCACGAAATTTGTTCGGTTTACTTATAGATAAAGATCGCATATTTAGTTCGTTCAATGTCATGTCCTAGTCCGACTTTACTACTTTCCTCACTGGTTATCAAAGCCGTTGATTTTTTTAATAATTTTGATCAAGGACTAAATTAAATAATTTTTTATCAATGACTATAGCCGTTGTTTCGTTTTAAAAAAATTTTTAATCATGAACTAATTCCAATTAATTTTGATCTAATTAATTTTTATCAAGGGCTACATTAAATTAATTTTTATCAAGGACTAAATTAAATTAAAAGACTAAATTAATTTAATTTGTATTATATTTTTTTCAAATTTATTTTGTTTAATAAATTAATTTTTTTCAAGTACTTCACAACCATATGCGTAGATTTTTTTTAAATTAATTTATAGCAAAGACCCATAAGTGAAGATTTTTTTTAATTTTAATCAATGGTTTAATTTTTTAAATTAATTTTTAAATTTAAGTTTCGCCCATAACTTTCTTAGCGAACCTCGTTTGTTTTGGTTGTCTGATATGAAAATAGTAAAAGATCGTGTTTGTGTGGTAGTCTACCTATTTTTTTGCTGTTCTCAATATGCAATTGTCGCGACGACAGCGACGATTTATCAGTATCGGTCACGATACACCCAACAAAAACATTCATTCTATATATATATACTCCAATAATATATAGACCTCCCTCTGTTTTTTTATGTTTATTATTTTAAACTGACGTGGCTTTTGAAAACCTCAACAGAATGTGCGAATATTAACAGAGCGGAATATCATCTCCATTTAGACAAGTTAAGTGGGTTGGCCAACTCAGCACGCACACAACACTTCGCACACCTATTTTGCAATGCGACCAAGATAACGCCGAACGTATTTGATTTCTCACAATATTTCTGATCCCCTGTTTGGTTTCAAAATTTTTTTTTCATTCTTTTGCAAATTTTTCCGAATTCGTTTTCCATATCCTAGAATACTACCTGTATTTGTTTTACGCGACACAAAAACTAAAAACAAAATGCTTTTGCAAGTTTTGACAAATTTCCTCAGTGGTGAATTGAAGAAAATCCGAACAAATTTTACCATGTTTTTGATTTTCTTCTGGATAATATGGTTCTCACAGATCTTAGCCATTTCAACAATGTTTATGAGGTGGGTAATTTTGCTTTCGATATTTATTTTTTTTTTATATAAAGAAAATACTTTTTGTTTTTCTATTTTTTAATAGCAAATCTTTAATTTTAATTTTTATTTTCAGTCTGCCAGATATCACAGACATACCCACAGTTACCATCACCGAATTGCCATTGGAAATTCTACAGCCACCTACACAGAATTCCATGGATTCGGTAATAATTGCAGCCGCTGATGGCTCGGCGGCTGGTGAGGGACGTGTCCTAAATCACACTGTGGATATTGTTGTGGGCGGTAATGATGATGATGTTAAGAAGGGTAAGTCTATTTTTTTTTAATAAAAATGTCAGTGGGGTGTCTTCTGCAGGACCTTTTTTTATTAAGGTTAATCGTAGGCAAGGACTATCCGATATGCAGGTGTGGATTTTGTAAAAAAAATTTTGGAAGGACTATCCCTACTTTAGGCGTGGATTTTTATAAATAATTTTTTGCAAGGACTATCCGAACTATAGGCGTGGATTTTTTAAATAATTTTTAGCAAGGACTATCCGAACTATAGGCGTGGATTTTTTTAATAATTTTTAGCAAGGACTATCCGAACTATAGGCGTGGATTTTTTTAATAATTTTTAGCAAGGACTATCCGAACTATAGGCGTGGATTTTTTTAATAATTTTTAGCAAGGACTATCCGAACTATAGGCGTGGATTTTTTTAATAATTTTTAGCAAGGACTATCCGAACTATAGGCGTGGATTTTTTAATAATTTTAGCAAGGACTATCCGAACTATAGGCGTGGATTTTTTTAATAATTTTTAGCAAGGACTATCCGAACTATAGGCGTGGATTTTTTTAATAATTTTTAGCAAGGACTATCCGAACTATAGGCGTGGATTTTTTTAATAATTTTTAGCAAGGACTATCCGAACTATAGGCGTGGATTTTTTTAATAATTTTTAGCAAGGACTATCCGAACTATAGGCGTGGATTTTTTTAATAATTTTTAGCAAGGACTATCCGAACTATAGGCGTGGATTTTTTTAATAATTTTTTAAATAATTTTTATGAGGACTTTCACTCACATAGGTTTTAAATCACATAGGTCGATTAACGCATGTCCGTCTGTCTGTCCGTCCGTTCATGTATTTTTGTGAACAAAGTACAGGTCGCATTTATGATCCGATTTGGATGAAATTTAGCATAGGTCACTTATTTGGCCCAAGGCCGAACCCTATTCAAATTGGGAAAAATCGGTTCAGATTTATAAAAAGCTCCCATATATATTTTCGTCCGATTTAATGTAAATGGTGCACCAAAGTCCCTATATATCTTTCGATTTAGATATAGCTCCCATATATATGTTCGTCCGATTTAATGTAAATGGTGTACCAAAGTCCCTATATATCTTTCGATTTGCACGAAATTTGGCACAAAGTCCCTTAATAATGAATTAGGTCTACAATAATGTGTGTAAAGTTTCCTGAAAATCGGTTCAGATTTAGATATAGCTCCCATATATATTTTCGTCCGGTTTAAGGTGAATGGTGTACCAAAATCCAATGATGTGTGTTAAGATTCCTGAAATCGTTGAAATCGGTTCAGATATTGATATAGCTTCTATATCTGACCAAATGAAAAATTTTGTATAGGTTGCAGAATGACATGTTTATGGATCCAATTTCATTTTACTGGTCCTTTAAAAATGCGTTAGGATTCATCTGTTGAATATACCCAAAGTTGTGAAGGGTATCATATAGTCGGCCCCGTCCGACTTTACTACTTTCCTTACTGATTTTTAAATATATTATTATATATAGAAGCATGGATTTAAATAAAATACGATCTAGACTCTCATTCCCGTCACCCTTCGGCTATACTCTGTTTCTATTTGTTGTTGTTTTTTTTTTTATTCGAAAAATATATAATAAATATTTACATATCGAATCCACCGCGTCATAATTCATTCAAAAAAAGTACACAATGTGAATTGTTATAGAAAGATAGCATGACATCGCCCATTGCTGTCGTCGTCGATGTCTACGACAACCATAAATATAATAGAATTCTCTATATGTATGTCATTTTATTGTCTTTATAATTACGACAATTTTACACTCAATTATAGATGTTTTAACATCATGGTAAGCATGAATGATTTTGGCATACGCTTCTAGTTTAATTAGCAAGAAATAATTAATTATTAAATAATTGTAAAAAAAATGCAAATTAAAATGTATTGTTATTTAGTGATAATAAGATAGGTTTTATATTTTTATTAGGATGGATCGACGAAGAAAATAAAAAAAAAATAAATTTTAAAAAAATCAGCAACTGTGTAGACTTTATTAATTTCATTTTACTAATGTTTCTCTCACTCTTTCTCATCTTCTCTTTCAGATGGACAAATTGTAAAAATCAATGATTCCGGTGGTGGTTCTGGAGATGGCTCTGTACCAATAACCTTAAATATAGAAAATCCCGAAATATTAGCAACCCCAACACCGCCAGTAACAACAACAACCGCAGCATCATCTTCATCTCCATCAACAACGGCAACTTTAAACATTCCAAATGATCTAAGCAACAATGCAACGGCACAACAACAACAACATACCGCATCTTCTTCTTCTCCATCTCACAATGACAGTGGTGTAGAACATCAACCTAACATCAGCTCATCATCATCATCGACAGAAAATTCACCCAGTCAAGTGAATCTCACCACTGAAGAAGTTCCAATGCCCGTCTTCTCCGAATGGGCTCAAAAACAAATGGAGGAAGCCGAAAAGCAGGCTATGGAACAGGAGCACACTTTCAACAATTCCGCTCAACGTAAAAACAACACCAATGGCAATGGAAAACCTGCCTCACTCAAAATACGAGCCAAAAATTACGCGTCTCCCGATTGTGGAGCAAAAATAATCGCATCCAGTGGTGATACATCAAATGCCGGCGCTGTCCTTAGTTCCTCCAAGGATGAATATATGTTGAGCTTATGCGGTAAACGCATATGGTTTGTAGTGGAACTCTGCGAGGCAATACAGGCCCAGAAAATTGACTTTGCCAATTTTGAACTGTACTCGTCGTCGCCACAAAATTTCACTGTGGCGGTGTCGAAACGATTTCCCACCCGTGAATGGTCAAATGTGGGCCGTTTTATGGCCGAAGATAAGCGGGCCGTACAAAGTTTTGATTTATATCCACATTTATTTGGGAAATTTGTACGTGTCGATATCCATTCGCATTATTCGAAGGAACATTTTTGTACCCTGTCTTTATTTCGGGTATTTGGCACATCGGAATTTGAGGCTTTCGAAACCGAGAGTCATCCGAATGAAGATATTGATGATTTCGATGATGAAGATTTGCAGGAAACGGCGAAAAGCAATTCCGAACCTAATCTCTTTAAGTCCGCATCTGATGCAGTGCTGTCCATAGTCAAAAAGGCCACCGAACTGGTGGGGAAGCCGTCGAATAACCAAAATCAAACATTCAAAACAACACCACACTCGGTGGTGTGTCGTACACCCATGTATGGCCTATTCAGCTGTGCTGATTGTCCCTCATCACTGGTGGAGCGGATCAACAATGCCCTGTCTTGTGAATTTAGGCAACTAAATTCATTGCTGAATGTGCCCCACATACGACGTGACTTAATATCCACTCGGATATGTGCCAAAATGTATGGCATTGAAACCACTGCAAGCGGTTCGCATCATTCACAACAGCAACAACAACAACAGCTGCAGTTCAAGGATATCAAGCAAAGCTTTTATGTAAATATTTTACCCCATGACTATGTGGGGGCCCTGTGTCAACTGTTGGCTATGCCGAAACCCACAAACAACAACCGTCTTGCCATCAACGAAACCGAGCAGAAGCAAAAGGAAGAAACGAGCACAAATCAAACATTGGATAAGAAATTCGGCAAAGAAGATTTGGAGCTCTTGGATAAACCCGAAACGAAGCTAATGCGGCCAGAAATGCGGCCGCTTGTAAACGAAAAGTCTGAAGAAATCATTCGTTACGAATCCCTTGAAACCTCTACGGAAGTGCCACTAGACGATAATCAACAACAGTTACCTAGACCCCTGGAACCCACAGAAGAAGATGTGGAAGTAACCACATCAACGCCTAAAATTGTAACAGAACAACCCAGTATACCTGATAAAAATATATTTAATGTACCTGTCGAAGAATTATATGTCCCAGCGGTGCCATCGGCACCAGTAACTCCTCCTCCTGCTGCATCCTCCTCGTTATCCCAGTCTGAGACTGAAGTAGCTGATAAGTCAAATAATGGTGGGGACATGGATTCACCTGCAACATCCACGGAAAGTGTAGAACACACAACGCCACTACCGCCTCCTCCTCCTGCAACACCAAAAGATATAGACAATAAACCCTCTGCATCACAAACGCCTCCAATTGCTGCACCAACCCAACAACCATCGACAAAAAGTGAAGAAGATACAAATTCATGGGAAAATATTGATATGTTATTGACCTCCACAACGGCCACGACAACACCACCAAGTGGTGGAACTGGCGTCGGCGGAGGTAGTTATAAGGATGGCACAAATTCGCACACTCAACATAATGGAGCTACAAATAATCTCAATCAGAAAATATCCTCTGGTCCCCAATCGGAAAGTGTTTTTATACGTCTCTCCAATCGGATAAAAGTAAGTTAATGCGTTTTGTTTAAACCTGTTTGAAGGCATTAAAAATAGTCATTAAAAATCCACGACTTGTTTAGGTCCTTAAAAAATATTCTTTAAAAAATCCATGGCTAGTTTAGGTGCTTAAAAAATATTCTTTAAAAAATCCATGGCTAGTTTAGGTCCTTAAAAAATATTCTTTAAAAAATCCATGGCTTGTTTAGGTCCTTAAAAAATATTCTTTAAAAAATCCAAGCCTTGTTTAGGTCCTTAAAAAAAATCCAAGCCTTGTTTAGGTCCTTAAAAAATCCAAGCCTTGTTTAGGTCCTTAAAAAAATCTAAGCCTTGTTTAGGTCTTTAAAAAATCCAAGCCTTGTTTAGGTCCTTAAAAAAAATTAAGCCTTGTTTAGGTTCTTTGAAAAATATTCTTTAAAAAATCCACGCCTGGTTTAGGTCCTATGAAAAATATTCTTTAAAAAATCCACGCTTGGTTTAGGTCCTTTGAAAGATATTCTTTAAAAAATCCACGCCTGGTTTAAGTCCTTTGAAAGAAATTCTTTAAAAAATTCCATAGTTATCAAGATTGTCGACCTTGCTCTATATATATTTTTTGGCCTCCATGGAAATGTTTCTTTTTTCTGCCAAGTTCTCCAAGGCGTGTTTTAATAGCAAATTTGCGTGCCCAATTTTTTTGTTTGTTTTTAGTTAGAAATTTTCATAGTTTCCACCCTCACATCCTTCCTTTGCACGAAATTCTAAAAATTTTATAAGACTTCCTCCCACCACTATTCCCTAGCCTTATTTCAAATATCAAAATAGACTTGTCTGTACTTTATTAGTTTGATATGTTTTGTTTTTGGAAATGTTCATGGCCTATGCTTTGGAAGGAGGTGAATCGCCGTTTTTCCTTCTGTTTAGTTTTCAGCATATCCGTAGAACAGTGGGTCGACCTCAAAGACTCAATATGAAATACCTTTACTTTCCCTAAATTAGTTTGAAAAATTATTGAACATGACTTTTTTGAATTGTCCTTCGGGACTTCGGTTCATGAGTCTATCGATAAGTAAAAAAATAGAAATTTAGAAAAATGATTTCCATATTCAAAACGGCCTACAAATGCTCGGCTCCTAATGGTCTTAATTCCTTTCGCCTGTAACATATTTCAGAAATTCCCCATTTGAAAATAGGCTAGTCAGCAGAACGATACTTTAAACCACTGTGTGCGCTCTCTAATCCCAAAATCTATCTTTTGGTTATTGGGCAAAAATTAACTCTCATTATAGTTCTTATTGTTATTGCCGTCCCGACCCTACAACAAACATGCTTGAATTGCGGGGGGTAATAGCAATGATTCTTGTATTTTGTTAACTTTGATGGATGAACTCTGTACGAACATACACAGTAGAACTTTTTAACTTTGAGACTGAAAAAATTCGCATGTCTGCTTACAATTATTATCACAAACACCACCCTCAACTTTGCCTGTCAGGCACAAGGAAACGCAACAAAAACAAATAACCTCATTTTAAGTTGTTCACAACTTTCTCTACTGAAAATAACACAACAAACATGTTTGATGTAACACAATTTCATACCAACTTCTTTTTATTTTTTTTTTTCAGGCTCTAGAACGTAACATGTCTCTCTCCGGCCAATACCTCGAAGAACTATCACGTCGTTACAAGAAACAAGTCGAAGAACTACAACAGACACTGACACAACAAACGCTAACCGTACGCACACTGGAGGAACAAAATCGTCGTCACCATGAACTGGAACAGCTGTACGCTCAACGTAATACCCAACTTAAAAACGAACTGGATGACCTATCACTGCAGGTGCATGCCTGTATTGTGGTCATAATATTTGTAGGAGCATTTGTATTCCTTGTACTGATGGTCGGCATTCTATTCTATCGTTCTCTGAGACGTGATACCAAAGAGGTACTCGCCCTATATGGTAAAAATAATGGCAAACGAAAATCCGAAACCCCAACGTCAGCTTCTGCCAATATGCAAAAAAAGTTAAATCGTCGTAAATCCTTTGAGGATTATTCCGATCATCAACAACAACAGCAACAACGGCGGGAACAATATGTTCGCAGTGTCAGCAATAGTGATAAAATACGCAGACCCAGTGAGGAGGTAATGCTGATATTAAAGGAATGTAAATGTGATAATAAGTCGATGTTAAGACCACCACCACCTCCAGGTGAGGGAAATTTGGAACGTGATGTAGCCTCGACAAGGCAGAGAAAAATTTCTATATGTTATGGCAGTAATAATAATATAAATTCTGGAAATACTGGTCTGCTGTGTCCACCATCGATTCAGTCATCACAAAAATCGGCCGCCGCTTCAGCTGGAAGGCGAAAAGGTGAAAAACATTCATGGCCCAATACGGCTCAGGCGCAACAACAGGCATTACAACATTTACAAGAGCTAAATAATGAAGATCTGGTTGGAGGTAAGAAGGCAAGGGAAAATTAGATAAAGACACTTGAGGTTGGGTCTTGTTAAACATATTTAAAAAAAATGGGCAACTGCGCAAAAGACCGTCGCCCCTGGTAATCTTTTTTAAGCTCGGCTTATCGAACGAAAGTTCTGTCACAAGCGAGCTAAGTAAGTAAGAAAGTGAGCCGCAAGGTTCAAAAAATTCTTGTTTACCTTAGACCACGAAAATTTTTCTTAAAATATCTAAGCTTATGAAACTTATTCAAAAAAATATTTCACGCCTTGTATCAGGCCTTGAAAAAATATTCCTTAAAAAATCCATGCCTGTTTATAGGCCTTGAAAGAATATTCTTTAATCCACGGCTTGATTTCGGCTTCGTTTTTGTTATGGTCCTTGAAAAAATCCTCGTCAGTTTATGGGCTTTAAAAAAATATTCTGTAAAAAATCCCCAACTTTTATAGATCTTGAAAACATATTCCTTAAAAAATTCCCGCCAGTTTATGGGCCTTGAAAAAATATTCTTTAAAAAATCCACGCCTGTTTATAGGCCTTGAAAATTATTCTTCAAATACTCCCCGCCTGTTTATAGGCCTTGAAAAAATATTATTAAAAAATTTACTCCTATGGGTGGTCCTAGAAAAGTTGTAGTTTCTACAAAATTACCTTTTCCTCAAAAAAAATATTTTTTAATTTATTAATTTTTATTTTTAATTTATTTATTTTTTATTAAAATCTGTTTATTTTTCTTTTTCAGATTCCTTTGAAATCTCGTCAACAAATAAAACGAAAAAATCAAATCATATAAATGGTTCACATCCACCCAACAACAGTAACATGAAATCGAAAAAGAAAAAAGACTATGCCAGACGACAGGACTCGTCATCGCCAGCGGAAACACATCATCAGCTGTTAAATCATACAGCGCCAGCTGAATTGAATAGTGCCACAGATTACGATGAGAAACTAATGTTAGACGAAGATGATCTCGACAATTTTATACCCAACAATGATTTGGCCTACAATGAATTTATGCCAGACGGACCGCGTGGCTATCAATGTCACAGTGTGACAGACACACAACAACAACACACAAATGCCAATAATCCTGCCTCCTGCTCTTCGTCAGCGTCGACGACATCCTCCGCAAAAAAGACCCAACTAACAACCACATCCAAATCGGAGGGGAATAGCAAAAAAGCACGACGTCTATCTTCGCCAGTTTTCTTCAAATCGCCATTTACCAAATCCTTTAAAGGTAAACTAAATCCATCCTCATCCGCTTCATCCAAAACTAATAATGCACCACATGAATCAACATCATGGGAATGGTATCGTTTGCGTAAATCATCATCGGCGTCTTCAAATAATGCCGCCAACACAGCAAATAATAGTAACACCACCACCACTAACAATGCCTATTTACGTGTCTCACCCAATGCCAGCTTGGATTCATCATCGTTGTCGGAAATTAATTTTCCCACTAATTCCACAGAAAATTCATTTCGCATTTTAGAAGAGGCTATTTTGTCATCGGGTGAAAGTGCCGTTACCACCACAGGATCATCATCGCAAACATGTGGTAATACAAAACGTTCGTGTCCTCACAGTCGTTTCGGTAGTAGCGGTGGTGGTGATGGCTCCTGCCCCAATTGTGGGGCTAGCGGCTGCAGTAGTGGCATTAGCAGTAGCAGCAATAGCAATCGTAGTTCATGTTCAAATTCATCATCCAATCAATCGAAATCGAAGAAAAATCGTAGTTTTAATAAAATATTCCGCAAAGTGTTTTGAGTTAGAGGCAACAACAACAACAACAACAATGGCCTAATGACAAGGATCAAGAAAAATCTATTGTGTAGATGTTGAAATGTGCAAAAGTGATGAGTTATTTTTTTATTATTTGGTTATTTATTCACAACGTTGATTGTTTTGATATAAACAAACAAAATTGAATACATAGCATTTATTTTTTTAATATTTTTTGGTTTGTTTTGTAAATATATTTTTGTTTTTTTTTTAAGAAATTGCCATTGAAGATGTTATGCAAAAACCAAACCAAAATAAAAAATAAGAAATTCATTTTTATAAAAAAAATCCATACTTTCCTAAATTTGAGTTTAAAAAATTGGTAATAATTCAGACGAACACTGAAAACATTTTTAAATAATATTGAAATATATTTGAAATGTTTTACTCAAAAACCAGTGAAGCATTTCAAATATATGAAGGAGAAATCGATTAATATGAGTTTCAGTTTCTGAAATGGAGCAATGATTCACCTTCTTGGTAATTTGAAGCATTTATGGTATCTTACAATTACTCAAACGCCTGTAGTCCATTGAGAACATTCTAAAAGAGGTAGTAAAGAGAGAATTATGGCCAAGAAAAATAAGAAAGAAGAGGTAGAGGTTAGGGCTGGTAACAGAGCCATGACTATCCTTTTTTAACAAAACTGTAAATTATGTTAGAATCTATCTTAGGAAAGAGAAGATTAATACCTTTCGAAGCATCAGAAGTCATCGCTTGTTTAGAGTAGATGTTCGATCGCTTTCATTTCCTCTTCATCCTCCGCCTTCAACTTAATTAATTTCCCATTTTAAAACCAGTGAGCAGAGCAATATATTCGGATGGGCCGATCATCATCAATATTTCAGGATATTTACACCCTCTAAACGGACTACTTGTACTGGACAACAATTACTTGTCCAGACTCACTTCAGCGTGGGTTGTATTGTGATGTTCGGCTTTCAATTTGTCGACCCGAAAAAAACCCAAAAAAAATTATTTTTCGGTCCACTTCATCCCAATATTATTATCTGATCATCGCCGGAACACATTTCAAAATCGCTCTCATAGTACCAAAATAATTTGAAAAGTTCGGAAACACAAATCGAGTAAATTTGCCTAAATTAGATAAGGCAATACTTCAAAATCAACATAACAGCCCATCAAAAGTTTGCATTCCTGTTTACCATTTTTACTCAGGTTTTCCAGTAAAAAGTTTACAAAGAGAACGCAATTTTGTTTCAAGTTCTCTTAAATTTGGTTCAATGTTTTATCAGTTTTATGTTTTATCAGTTGTAAAATTAGTAGATTCTTTTAGTTTCTGGAAGGGAACTATTATCTACACTTTGATCAGATAAATCCACCTGAAACAAATTATCTGCATTTGATTTAGAAATGAAGACTATTGGCCCATTCCTTTTGATATCTTCCCCGTAAACTTCTTGTAAAAATTTTGCTGAACATATATGTCTAATTTAATTTCCGACTCGACAAACTGATAAAATATCATACAAATATCGGTATAAATTTAGGCTGAGTGAAGGGACATACACAGGCGTTTCCAGGCCCTCAAAAATTATTTATTTTTCACAACAAGTTAATTTTTGTAACAGAGAAAATGGCATATATATACCTGTCGGCAACATCGATAAATAGTTAGAAAGTGTCAGTATTTTCTATCTACATATATCTCCATACAGCATTCAAGGTCTATCGGAAAAAGTAATACGGTATATCATTTGTACACCCATCCTCCATCTTTGTACCTTCAGCCTTGTGGCTAATCAGGGTATATAAACTTTGATACCACAAAAATTTACCTCATTGAAATATTGGTTTTAGACTCCATGTTTCTATGACCCAAATCCGTTCAGACAATTCGGAGTCCATTTACAAATGTCCTGTTTTTGCAACAGAGAAAATATAATATTTATCTTTCAGTAACACCGATTAATAATTAGAAAGTGTCAGTATTTTCTTATCTATGTCTCGGTATAGCATCCGAGGTCTATTAGATCCGAAAAAGTAATATCATTTGTATACGCATCCCCCTTATTTATACCCTCAGCCTTGTGGCTAATGAGGGTGTATACATTTTGTCTCATCGAAATATTGGTTTTAGACCCCATGTTTCTTTGGAACAAATCCGTTTTAGACAATTTAGAGTCGATTTACAAATGTCCGTCCGTCTGTATGTCTGGCCGAGTGGTGCTCACGATAGGCTCTCGAGGGTAAAACCGATTTGATTTAAACATTGCACATTGTAATATTTATTGCAAACTTAGATCAAGTTCGAGGATGGAGTATATTGGTGGTCCACTCCCTCTGGTACCTTCCCCACAAAATAGTTAACATTTTTGCATGTGTTCATAACAGAGATGGAAGTTTCCAAAACACCTTACTTTTTCTGTTTATACTGCGCATTTTGTGCTTGGCCAAGAACTTTCCGAACTGTCCTTGTATTTCGACTAGTATGACACTTTCGTTATCGTGTTATATGTTTACAGCCCCCTACCGTTATAAGAAACATTGTTATACAAAATCATTATTTTAATTTTACTTCTAATTTAAGCTATTTCCCCTGCCAACAATTTATAATTACACTTCATAATTATATAATTTCCCCTCATTATTTAGTTTCATAATTATAATTTTTTATCATAAAGAATTCACTTGTTACATACAAACATATACATATTTACATTTTTGTACATCAAATTCCATTCATATTATTATTATTTTTTGCTATGATTAAATATTTTTTTGCCATTTGTATATACAAATATTAAACATATATAACAACAAGACAATGTATTTTTTAAATTTAATTTTGTTTTCTATTTTTTTCTTATTTTAGTTGAGGACTTGAAAAAATCTTAAAAAAAACATCAAAAACATATAAATATAGAATGAAAACCATATACATTATTTATTCATTACCAAAAAAAAACAGAACACTAAAATGGAAAATGCAACAAATAAACAAAGCCTTTTTTTAAATAAATTTAGTTTTTAAATGTATAGAAATTAACGAGAGAAAAAAACGTATATATGTAAAACGAAAATCGGACTGCATTTTTTTGTTTGTAATTCTTTTTTATTTGTTTAATTTTAGATTAGTAAACAATAAGTATATTGTAGATTCCTGTTTTTGTAAATTATTTATAATAAATGAAAATAAAATAAAGCATATAAATTAAAAAAAAAAAAACTATATATACAAATGTGTACATTTAATTATTTTTAATAAAGCGTGTTTTTGGAATTCAAAATAATAAATTAAAAGCAATTCGATTATTTCAAAGTGTCCTAAATCTTGAAAATGGGAAAAATTAATGTTAATATTTAATATTTAAGACTGTACCTAGAGGCCGGCAAAAAAAAAACAATATATATATATATATATATATTTGTAGAGAAATTTGATACTTAAATAAAGTTCGACGATGGGACACATCGGTACACTTCTTGTGAAAGGTCGCATTTATGATCCGAATTGGATGAAATTTGGCACAGCTCATTTATTTGGCCCTAAGACGAACCCTATTGAAATTGGAAAAAATCGCTTCAGATTTAGATATAGCTCCCTTATACACTTTTCTATTTTAAGTAAATGGTGCACCAAAGTCCCTGAATACATTTCGATTTGCATAGCGTACTGAATTGGATCTAAAATGATGTGTGTTACGTTTCGTGAAAATCGCTTCAGATTTAGATATAGTTCACATATCGACGCCCCCGAACCATAGTATGCTAAGTCGACTTAGCATGTTTTAAAGTTCTTCACGTTTTTAGATACTACGGTCCTTAATTTAAATTCACTGAAATTTTGGTAATCATCGGCCAATCCAAACCAAAGTTATAAGCAAAAATGTACTTAGCATGGCACGTACGATTAAAGAAACTTCCATACTTCGAAAGCTTATACTGAACTCACTTTTCAGACTTAGCATACTATGGTTCGGAGGCGTCGATATATATTTTCGCCCAATTTTAGGTAAATGGTGCACCAAAGTCCCTGTATATCTTTCGATTTGCACGAAATTTGGCACAGCGTACTGGATTCAGTCTAGAATGGTGTGTGTTTAGTTTTGTGAAAATCGCTTCAGATTTGGATATAGCTCTCACATAAATTTTCGTTCGATTTTAGGTAAATGGAGTACAAAGGTCCCTATATACCTTTCGATTTGTGCGTAATGTGGCATAGCGTACTGGATTAAGTTTAGAATGATGTGTGTTAAGTTTCGTGAAAATCGCTTCAGATTTAGATATAGCTCCCATATATATTTTCCGATTTTAGGTAAATGGTGCACCATTTACGACGAAAATTGGATTTTAAGTCTATAATGATGTGTTTAAAGTTTCATGATAATCGGTTGCAATTAAGATATAGCTCTTATATATAATTTCGTCCGATTTAATGTAAATGGTGTACCAAAGTCTCTATATATCTTTCGATTTGCACGAAATTTGGCATAGCGTATTGGATTAAGTCTAGAATTATGTGTGTTGAGTTTCGTAAAAATCGCTTCTGATTTAGATATAGCTCTCATATATATTTTCGTCCGATTTTAGGTAAATGGTACACTAAAGTCCCTGTATATCTTTCGATTCGCAAGAAATTTGGCATAGCGTACTGGATTAAGTCTAGAATGATGTGTGTTAAGTTTCGTGAAAATCGCTTCAGATTTATATATAGCTCTAACATATATTTTCGTCCGATTTAATGTAAATAGTGCACCAAAGTCCCTATATATCTTTTGATTGGCACGAAATTTGGCATAGCGTACTGAACTATGTCTAGAATGATGTGTGTGTTAAGTTTCGTGAAAATCGGTTGCGATTTAGATATAGCTCCCGATTTACCAACAATTGGGCGCTTTTTTTTGGGGAGCTAAGACAAAACCTGGACCCATATATCGCATTTGCAATTCCAAAAAATCCTACCGATTGGTATATGAACCTTTTTCTTTGTGTTCTTGATATTCTCTCAATTATCCTTATATTTGCGCAAAAAAACAAATAAAATTCCTTTACTCTAAACCTCAACAGCACTCTAATTTAATTTTTCTTTCTTAAAACACAAATTTCCTGCAATTTAAAGACAGTTTTTAAAAACTTCAATTTTGTTAATTATTAATTGTACAAAGTCTTTTATATCGATACACATAAAAACTACAAATTCTCCCCTAAGCAATAGTGAAAGTTTCATGCCAATACATGCATTCATTACTGAGCTATAGCTATTTAAAGTTGACCTTCTGTCAAAATATAGCTGCTACGCGATTCTGTTTGCCTATTACCACAAAAAAATTAAAATGAAGAAATTCCAAGTTGTCGAAACAAAACAAGAATTTAATATTTGTTGCCAGATCGTTCGGTTTGTGTGTATTTCACTTTTAGTTTACAAAACATGAGCATACTTTTAGGCGTTACAATCAAATAGATACCCGTTACTAATTTGTATGTGGCATGTTTTTAATGTAACGCCTAAAAGTATGCTCAGAATTTGTGTAATAACATGCAAACATACAATGTAAAATACTTACCAATCTGGTAACACACTTACTTATGCATTTTTATCTGTTTTTGCGAAGATGCAATTTCTTCATTTTTTCCATTTCGGGTAATAGGCAAACAGAATCGTGTAGCCGCTATATTTTGACACAAGACAAACTTTAAATAGCTATAGCTCAGTAATGAATGCATATATCGGCGTGAAACGTTCACTATTGGTTAGGGGAGAATTTGTAGTTTTTATGTGTGTCAATATTGAAACATTTCTTTAATTAATTATCAATCAAATTACATTAGTTTTGAAAGCCGGACTTTAAATTGTGGCAAATTTGTGTGTTTAAAAAAAATTAAATTAAATTGCTGTTTCAGGTGTAGAGTAAAGGAATTTAATTAGTTTTGTGTAAAAATAAGGATAATTGCGGGATATGAAGAACACAATGAACAAATGCGGCAGTAGAAGTTCAAGTCTTAATACCATTAGACGTGGTCAAATATGATTATAATTTATAAAATAATAATATATTTTAGAAGTCCTCCTCGAATATATGAGGTCGCTCATTCAGTTTGTAACACCTAAAAATCCTGCGGCCCCATAAAATACAGATTTTCTTTTTTTAGAATAAAATTCTGTGTAGATTTAGACATGTCCGCCGGGCTATTCATCCGTCCGTTTGTTTGACCGCTTGTCTGTTGAAATCACGATAGAGCTCGAAAAATTAAAATACAGATTTGGAATTTTGTACTGAAAAGATTGAATGTTTGCAAAAAAGATATATGTTTCCACGTTTTGGGTTAGCGGTCATAAAGGTGTCCCGGCCAATAGTTGTCAGTATTTTGAGGCTTTTGAAGCATTTTACAGGCGAAAACACACTAATTTTCAAATTTCGGGATTTTTGGGGCTGGCATACATCTGCGCATTGTTTTTTTTAATATATCACGAAAATTATATGTTCGACTTTTAAGAAATTTATTTTATGGTTGTATATTGCAATTCAGCTGAGTTGAATTTAAGAAATCAAAAAGGAAATTCAATATTTTTATTATTAACATAATTTTAGTTACTAAAATTGTCAATTTCGTTAAATAAAAAACATTTATTTGTAATTGTAATTTGTAGATTGTAATTTGTAGATTGGAAAAATTATATTTTTTTTATAAAATTTAATTTATATTCAAATTCAGCTAAGATTATAATGCGGATATGGGTCCAAAAACATTTTTATCAATAAATTTAAACTTTCCCCTAATTTTTGAGTATGTATTTTTAATTCAGCAAAGCTAAAGATAATAATTTTGCCCCAGAATTGTTTGTGGAGAAAATTAAAAGGTTTTGCGACATAATTTTCTAATTCAGCTGAGCTGAATTAAAAAGAAATTTGTATAAAATAAAAGTTACACGTTTTATGTAATACCAAACATTTTTCCAACATTCTTAAATTGAAGTCCATATTTTGACTTAGCCCTTAGAAAGTATGCGATTATACCCTTTCATATGACACCATTTTGATTATAATATCCATGGGTTGTTAAGTTGTATATTCTTTAAAAAATTATTGTTCCATGGAGTATGAAGGTAAACATGTTTTCCAATGGGCTCTTAAGGCGTAATTTTGTAAAGATATGTTTTTATGTACTATGATATGGAAATAGTGCAATTTTTACATTTTTTCCATGATCTATGGAACCGCATATTTTTATATTCTTCACCATGAAGGCGTAAATTTTTTAAAAATGTTTTTCAATTGTCAGTTTCTGTGTACATTTCTTTAAAAATACTTTTTCCATGACTTTGGAGCCGTAGATTTTTTAAAATATGTTTTCCTGGCGTAGATCTTTTCAAGTGCTGTATAAAGACTGAAAAAACATTAATAAAAACGACAAAAATAAACTATATTTGATTTTGAGCTTTCGTTTTAATTGGACAAATGTTTTACAATAATTTTTATTTCTATTGCAGATTTGTTTTAATATCATTTAGATTTTGTTCCACACAATTATATTGCGCTAGGATAATTAAATAAAGTGGCTATTTTTTTAATTTAAGTTGTATAATATTAATATTAAATAAAGTGGATATTTTTTTAATTTAAATTGTATAAGATACTAGAAGAAGAGAGTAAAGAAAATGTCAATTGTTTTATTTTTTTCATATAAGCATTTGATATTTTTTGCATTTTTAATTGCTTAGCATTTAAAAATTGCAATCGGTTTTTTTCGTTTTCATTGTGATTATAACAATTAAGACAAAATCTTAATATTCTAATTTTATTTATTGTTAGATATGATTTAAAAAAACAAAAATCGTTTAATACCATCAAGCTAACTACTTAAGTGTAATGTGTGTGTGTACGATTTCATTTTTGTTATATACAAAAATATATTAAATAATTCCCTGAAAAATGGCAATATTAAATTAATATAAATTCCATATTTCTTTAATACATGATTTTCGTTTCGAAAAAAAGGTTTCAAAGTGACTGGCAACAACAATACCACAATTTTGTTTAAGAATTTAATTGTTTTTAAGTGGCCCCAATTTTTGTGATATTTTTTTCTCCTTTTTTTCTTAATTAAAAAGTTGATAGTTTTTAGTTACTCTAAATTACAACTATAAGTGCGATAAATACAGTCCATTTTCCCAATCGAAATATACATAATAACCATAAAAATCAAAATAGGCCGTCATATGATAGGCCATATTTGTAAATACCACAATATATTCAAATAAGGCAAATAATGTATAAACTGTAAAGAAAGGCAAGAAAACAAAAAATATTAATTTCCAAACTCTCCAGAAAAAAATGAATGCTCATTGCAATTACCTCCTGGTTCACATTTTGCATTGTGCCTCAGAAAAAAGTAACCTGCCAAAGCAAAAGCCAAAAGATTTGTTAGAAAAAAGTACAATTTCAATCTGGTCGATTTCTCCTCCTTCTCGGTCAGAGCCTGTCTCCGGGCATTCTTATTGAGAAAATACGATATCAACATGTACAGCTCACTGCTGGCAATGAAGGTGCAAAACGCATTCCGATGCAGTTCATAGCTGTCCGACGATGTCCACAGTGACAGCGAAAGCAATGCTATGTTCTCAATTACATTTAAGCTAACGGCCATGTGAGCAAACAAGCGACGATTCTTTCTTATTTGCTCTTTATAGTATTTCATATAAATGTGGGCCACGGCCAGTCGTACGGGCAGATGCAGTACAATGGCCAAACGCCAAATTGTCCGCTGCGGTTCATAATTACCAATGGCCGCCGATATTGATGGCAGGTAATTTCTCACGTCACAGTGTGTAAATGTGGCACGTTCAAAATCGAATACCACCGACCAGAAGATACAGAAGAGAAATGCACCCAGCGCCAAGCTGACAGCACTTATAGCCACTTTGGAGAATGCAATACGAAATAATATTTTCGGTCCATTCAATCGTTCATAGGTCGGTAACATTTTCCATAGACGAGTTTGTTGTGTTCAATTGTGATTAATGTTTGGGGGTTAAAGATTAGGGGTTGGGTGGATGGGTGCCAGCCACTCAACACGAAACGAAAGAGCCTACAGTTGGGTGGTGTTGCGATGTTGATGTTTATATTCCGTGTGACAATTGTTGTCGTAAACTTTATTGGGAGGCGAAAATTGTTTGTTTATAAATATTAAAGAATTGTATTGAATATTATTGTCTACTTACATGACATTATTTTACTCTATAGAAAATGGTTACATTTATTAATAGATGGAGCCCTTACATATAATTTTTCTTAATCAATTTATTTTATCTTAGCACTTGTCGAATTTCCATTATTTGTTGGTGTTGTTGTCGTCGTCGTCTGATTGTTATTTGTTTTTTTATCATGACATTACGGTTGTTGTTTTAAGTTCCCAACAATAGCCAGTTGATGGTTGTCAAAAAAAAGGTTATCAAAATTGTAATAGGTTATCGATTATTATCGATTAACGACAAAGTGATATAACGATACAGCATTATTGTAATACTACATTTAAATGGAACGTATAAGATATGGAGAGCTATATTTTTTAAAAATAAAATTTCAGAGGACTCTTGAGGGTTTTTTAAATAATTTTGTCTATAGACTATCAAGACATACATTTGTAAAGAATTGGTATGTACCCGTACTGCAAGAATTTACTACATTTTACTATTTTCTTCGATATCATACATGGTACAATTATAAAAGGTAACAGCAAATCCCAGCTGATTTGATTTCAACGTAATACTAGTGTCAATATGAATTTGACAAATTATGTTTTTAAAAATCACCCAACAGGAAAAAACGCATACAATTTAAAATTGTTCTTTATTAAATGTGCTCCTGTTTTCAATTTACTCAATCTGCCTGCTGGGAAAGCTTGAGGAGGCAAATCTTTCTTCAAGGAATAACTCGCTATTCCCAGCATTTTCATATGTGTTACACATATATATGGCAATGGCTCAATTATAGAAAAGATGTGGAATAGATAGAAATATAAATTTGATAGATTTTCATTCATGTTTTTCAAATTTTTATTTTGAGGATTCTAAAATATTTCATTTTCAAAATAAAAATAATTTGATGATAATTTGTTTGTTTGTTTACATTTTTTGTCAAATGAGTTTTAGAACTTACAACAATATCGTTTTTTGTACAACAACACTTGCTGTTACCTTCTATTATTATACCATGGATATCATAAAGGAAAATTCGTTATTGTAGTAAAAAGTAGTACATTACTATAAGCTTTAATAAGGGTACATTTTTTTATAAATTTGTTATATATTTTTTCACACTTTTGTTGCGCAGTTTTCTTAAACGCATCTTTTTCTACGGGATATTGATATGCAGATTTTCAAAAGAATATTTTTTTACAATAACTATTGGGATGTAGGTTTAAAAAAAAATAATTTCCTAAAGTCTAGGTCTAAGATTTTTTCTAAAGGCTTCAGAGGCGCCTTACTGTGGTGGTCAAAACATTTGCAACTAAGTTTGACCGCTTCAATTGACGACAAGGTGAAATAAGCGCATTTTTTGCAGGACGGTTTTCTAGTAGTCAGGTCTTTATATGGCGTGTAGGCATACATGTGGCAACTTTTGGTTTTTGAGTCGCTTTTGCTAGATGGGAACATGTAATAAATTATTGCTTTGACCATCTGCATGTACAAATTATCTGTACGACGTCTTTGGTTCAGTGGACTTCCTCCAAACTGGGTTTGTGTATTTATACTTCTTCCCTATATGTGATATTGAACTTCTGGGAACATTATATTCTTCAGAAATCTTTCTTAAGGATATTCCATTCATATAATCACCAACAATGAGTTTTTCTAATACCTCCACAATGCGTTTTATTAACCCAAACTCGAATTTATCGCATGTCACTTCTATTTGGTTGTTTGGGATCGTATATTACAATTTTTTATTAAATATTTATTAAAACTACCTCTTAACACTCAAGAATACTTAAACTTTGCGAAAAAAATAAACTATGATACCTATAATAACGGTATTTTTTTAAATTTGTCAGAGTTGCATATGTTTTGACCAAGCTAATATTGAGTTATCTATTTTATCAATAAATTTTACAGCAAAATACCAAACATTTTCAAAGAGAAATTACAATCACAATTTCAGTTGAACCTTAAACGTTGAAAAAATTCCAAGTCGACATATATTTCAACTTCCAGTTGCAAATGTTTTGACTACCACTGTATATCTTAATAGCAGCAGCTGTAGATTTTTTTTTTTAAATATCTTTTTTAAGGCCTAATGAGGCGTGGATTTTTTAAAATATTTTTTCTTGGGCCTACAATTGGCGTACAATATACCTTGTTTTGAGGCATAGATTTTTTAAACATATTTTTTCATGACATTTGAGGAGTAGATTGCGCCTATGGATGCGAAGATTTGTAAAAAAATATATATTTTCGTTTTTAAAAAAATATATTTTTTCATTAACTATTGAGACGTAGACTTTTTCCGGATTTGCGGGGTCCGGATTATGGAGATTTTATTTGCCATCCTTTTTGGTCCCTCTCATTCTCTTGGAGCGGAAAATGACAATGTTCAAAAAAAACATTTTTTCCAAGAGTGAGTCATTTGATTAATTTTTGTGCGATGTTAATAATCATAATTCATACCAGAGCCAGACATGTACCCTTTTAAATTCCTTTGTAATTTCTGATTTGCAATGTTGCATTGGTGGGAAATCATGTCAGCCGTCGAAAAGATGGAATTTGTATTAATCTCTAAATAAAAAAGGGATTTAAACTTTAAATAAACTTATAATTGTCTATTTCGTTAATTACTTATCTACTTGTATTTAAATTGCATTCAAGGATTCAAATTATTGTTATTGTTTTACTTTGCCATTACCAAATTATTTATATTGTTTCTAACAACAGAAAATATTTAACAAAGTTATTATTATCATTAAAATTACTAATAAACATCATAGCCATACATAGGACCCTCCATGTAGGCTCTATGTTGATCGGGAGAATTTCGTCGAATACGACGACCAATTGGTTCCAAATCGTTATAACATTTAGGAAATACCCGCTCTACGGCATCAATGGCTTCCTGTCGGGTAACATTGCGTACAGCTAGAACAGAGGCCAAGGCTTTTGATTTGACACAATTCTGCAACAGAATGATGTAGTATTAAAATTATATTACAAATTAAAATACAACAATGATAGCAAAAATCTCACCTGATGACTTTGTTTAATGTTAAACAATGAAGCATCACCCTGCATCATGGCACTTAAAAAGGAACAATGGGCCAAGTTTGCTGCCCGTATCTCTGTACACGCCAAATGATCGATGTTACGAAAATCCAAATCATTGTTACAATAATCGAACATATGTATCATTTCATGGGTTAGAACACCCTGTACCATGCCTTCTTTGCGAGCCATATTTTGACAGACAACAATTTGATTGAGCACCGGATCATAGCCACCCGTAACACTGCTGTCACAAACTTCACACGATATGTGCCTCCGTAAATCGATGGGGCAACCGGAACTCCGTAATGCGCCCATCATTAACTTAACTAAAGGGCTATTTTTGACACACCAATATACGTTACGTTCACACTTAACTTTATCCATATTTTCGTGACCCTCAAGACCGAGCAGAATACGTGACCATTTCGGTTTAAATTCCTCGCCACGTCTTTCGGGATATAAATCGTAACCCCATTCTTTGTTAGTTTTTCCGGGTGTTTCGGGTTTCTCATTATCACCGGTAGTGGTGGTGCTGCTGCTACTATTGTTTTCGTTTTTCTCCGTAGTGCTTTTGGCCGAATCCTGAGATTTATTTGTTGTGGCAGTGCTACTGGCCTCTATATCCAGGCCAGGTATGTCATCTTTTGCTTTTGTTTCAACTTTTGTAAACCAACCCATGATGAGGATCTATTTTGTTTTCATATGTCTGATTGTCGGGTTAAATAACATTCCCCAACTAGTGCTTGACTATTTCGATAACATTGGTCATCGGGTCGATAACAACGACCATATGATTTGCAGCCATATGTTATGTATGAAGTGTTGTATTTCTAATTTGTATCCGTTAAACAAATATTTTGATTCGTCTTCGGACGGCTCGTAAGGACGCATTTTAAGGAGTTACTTACGTCTATGGGCTTTAAAAAATTACAAAATGGTGCTGTAGTAAGCATTTACTTAATTTGCCACATGTTTTATATACCGAATGTTTTATATCATCGAATACAAATTTGAGCGAAAATTGTTTTTAAGAATACTTAGATTTAAAATAGAAGATACCTTCTATTTTAAATAGAAAGTGGGCTAGTTGGAGGAGGAGTTAAATAATAAAAAAAAATATTTTGATAAACCTACCTACTACTTATTTTTCTGGGTTTGCCGCATTTTCAAATCGAAATCCTATGCAAATAATTTTCAAATAGAAATATATTCATAAATATTATATTTTTACATAATAATAACTACATAGTGGTGTCATTGACTTTTCATTTGTTAATGGCTTAAATAATCTACGCTTTGCAATTAACACATCACTTGCCGAACAGCCATTTAGTGTTGAAACGGCACCACCACCATCACCGGCCAGCTGTCCATATTTATTTTTTGGTTTCAATATGACCGGACGACAACCGGCAAATTTAAAACGTATATTACCGGCACGATTTAATTTCGGATTAATCGGTTTCAATTCGGGAAACAGATCATTCAGCAATGGCTTGGGTTTCAATGCCTTATTGGGATCATCACCATGACACATGGCAGCAGCTAAAGCATTCCATTCCAATCGACGTACACCCAATTTGGGATTTATTTTAAATGTACATTTCTTGCGACGCACAAAACGATATTTAAGGAATTTCTCATAGAACTGGGCATAGTAGGTTAAAAATGGTTGCAGTTTATCACCGCCACATACTTCCTGCAGCCATTCGTAGAGGAAAATGTCATCGTTGCCACTTAAAAATACTGATGATATCTATAAAAAATAAAGTTATGTTTATTATGATTTTCTATGGGCAAGTAACCATTTAGATATATGAGGGAAATCAAAACGATTCGACTTGTCGTAAAAATATACGATTTAAATGTATTAACTTTTTTATATTTACTTTTTATACCTTATAGAGGGGTTTATTTTCAATACTTTTTCTGATCGGACTGGTACCACAGTAGTTTTCGTTTATAGTCCACAACTATAGTTGCACAATTTTTGTGGACTATAAGCAAATTAGCATTACATCGGAATTTCGTTTTAAGCCCGTTTAATGGAATATAACTGAATCCTGATATATATATATATATATATATATATATCATGACAATTATTATGACATTCTCCATCAGTAGGCTCGCCTTTTGAGCTGGGGCATTCTCATTCATTCGCACAACATGGCCTAGCCATCGTAGTCGCTGTAGCTCAATACGTCTAACAATGTCGATGTCCGAGAATAGCAGGTACAGCTCATGATTTATTCGACGGCTATATTCACCGACGACGCACATCGGCCCGTAGATCTTTCGGAGAATTTTTCTTTCAAACTCCCCAAGAACTGCCTCTTCTGCTTGCACAAGTACCATGCTTCAGATCAGCGTCTTGTAAAGTGTGCGTTTGGTCTGGCGGGAGGTGGCCTTGTTTCAAAACTGCTTATTTAGACCATAGTAGCATGTGATGGCCATCACAATCCTTCTCCGAATTTCAAAACTGACGTCATTCTTTTTTTTGCGGTACCAAGGTATATACAATTTTTAACTACCTTGAAGATGTAGTTCTCAAGTTCCACAATTGGTCCGAGTCTACTGGACAGACAGACTCCTTCTCAATTTGGGACACAGGATGCTGAGGTTCCAGTCAGACATGCATTCCTCTAGCCAAATTGTGCTAATCAGGTGCATGCTCCTGACCACCAGTCTTGAATAATTCGGCTGGTAGCCCGTCGGCTCCTGCTGCTTTATTGTTCTTGAGCCGATTAATTGCTTTTATGACCTCATCTTAGCTAGGTGGTATACACTCTCCACTTAACTCTCCATACTTAATATATATTGCCTACCCATTTTTCCTACTTCTATGAAATGTGGCCTCTAAACAAAAATGGACCATAGGCGAACTGAACTTGAGAACAAATAATTTGTATGGAATTGGGGGAAAAAAAACTTGTCAGTAAATAGTACTGTTTTCGCTTACATCCGTCTATTTTTTCTGTTAAATTTTCATCGGAGGAATCTAAAAATATACACCATCTCTTCTGACAAACCGTTTTGTTTTCCATCACATACCTGATTTGTAGTAGTATTACATTAAAATCATTCCATAGAGATTCAGGAACTTCATCCACATTGAGTTTATAAAGAAATGGTATAAATTCTCGAAATGCATATTCGCCCAATGCAATAAGACCTCGAACAGATCTACTAATGTAATTATAATCTAAGAGAAGAAAATTAAATTTTTTGTAAACAATTTTCTCTTTCAAGATTTATGAAAACAAAAACTCCAACTACTTACTCACCTCTTTCTTTTTGTATTACGCGTCCTCGAAAGAAACGTTTCAATCTGCGCAATATGTGAAACAAACATTCACTTTGAAAATACCCATTGAGGGCACCCAGCATTCCTAGTGTTTCACACAATTCATCAACACATTCCCATTCAACTGGAGTGGCAAAATACTGTGACGTTTGCAGATTCGTTGCTGCACTTTCATCGCACAGACTTGTGACATCCATTTCCACATCATCATCGCCATCGTCGTCATCATCTGGTTCAAGTTTAAATATTTTTTCACAATTATCTGTTCCGTTACCACCACTACCACTTTGTTGTATTACATTCACATCTGAATGTTGAATGGTGTTGCTGGTGGTTGTCTCAAAACCAATACCACTTGTTTCCATTTTAATGTGATGATCATTTTGAGCAGTTATATTCAGTTCTTCTTTTGTGGGATTATTTTGAATTTTAATCGATTCCAAGGGTGCCAATAGCTGACAAATAAGTATTTCTGCCAAATGATAATATTCTTCACGACTATCAACATCGCGGGTACGTGGATTTGTTGATAGTGCCCGTAGCAGACGCCAACATCGAGAACTTATTTCGCTGGTCTGTTTGAAGGCAATAATTTGTACAATCTTTGCCAATATTAAACGATAACAAGAGCCAATTAAGGGGCTAAAAGCTGCTTCACTTAGAACAGCGTCCAATTCATCGGGATTACCATTTAGGGTAGCTGTAAAAGTAAGAAAAAAAATGAAATTTTTTATTAAAAACTGAGCTTTTCAATTAACAAAACCAGTAAGGAAAGTAGTAAAGTCGGAACGGGTCGACTATTGGATATATTCTACATATGTCTCCTAACAGACTCCGCCTTTTCGAAAGAACATTGGCATGACATTGAACGAACTTGAATATCTGATCATTATGCCTTTATGGAACCTATCGAAACCAAATCGAAAGATATATTGGGTCTTTGGTGCATCATTTACTTTAAATCGGATGAAAATATATATGGGAGCTATATCTAAATCTGAACCGATTTTCACTAACCGAACCGATTTCATTCTAGACTCAATGCAGTACGCTATGCCAAATTTCGTGTAAATCGAAAAATATTTAGGTACTATGGGGCACCATTTACGTAAAATCGGACGAAAATATATATGAGAGCTATATAATATAAATCTGAACCGACTTCCACGAAACTTAGCACACATCATTTTAGACCTAATTCAGTACGCTATACAGGGACTTTGGTGCACCATTTACTTTAAATCGGATGAAAATATATATGGGAGCTATATCTAAATCTGAACCGACTTCCACGAAATCTGAACCGACTTCCACGAAATCTGAACCGACTTCCACGAAACTTAGCACACATCATTTTAGACCTAATTCAGTACGCTGTGCCAAATTTCGTGCAAATCGAAAGATATATAGGCACTTTGGTGCACCATTTACTTTAAATCAGATGAAAATATATATGGGAGCTATATCTAAATCTGAACCGATTTTCCCCAATTTCAATAGGGTTTGTCCTTGGGCCAAACAAATGAGCTGTACCAAATTTCATCAAAATCGGATTATAAATGCTACCTGTACTTTGTTTACAATTTATCACTAACAGACGGACGGACATGCACAAATCGACATAGAAGGTGATCTCTCCTTTCCTTTTGCCTGTTACAAACATATGCACAAATACATAATACCTTGGGTATAAAAAGGGGACCGAATCGAAATTTTTCGATCGATTTGATAATGTATATTTCCTTGTACATCCTATTTCATCATATCAAAAATCCTAGGAACATTTTGCTATTTTCTTCAAATATTAAATTCAAAATTAAATTTGTATACCCTACACAACTATGTTGTCAGGGTATTATAGCTTTGTGCAGCCCCAAAAGTTTGTAACGCCTCGAAATATTGGTCCTAGACCCACCTTTAAGTATACCGATCGTCATATCTCGACTAGCTGAGTCGATCTAGACATGTCCGTCCGTCCGTCCGTCCGTCCGTCTGTCCATTATAATTTGTAAACACGATACAGGCCACAGTTATGGACCAATCTTCACGAAATTTTTCATGTATGATGGGTTCTGGCCAATGAAGATCCCTATTGTTTTTGGGAAAGATCGGTTAATATTTAGGGGATGAAATGGACCAAATACTAAATTTTTGTCCGTTTTTCTGGTCGCTCCAGAGGCCGCAATAATGGCCCGAACATCGTGAAATTTTCCATGGAGAAGGGGATCAGACCAAAGAATAAGCATGCCTGTTTTCATATAGATCGGTCAATATTTAGCGGGTCAAATGGACCCTGACTTTTGTGTGAAAAATTACAAAATTTGTATTCTATAGCATATATATTTACCCCTGAAGGACATAGACCCGAAAAGTTTATATTATATCCAAGAGGAGTGGTTGACCTTTAAATTAATACCAATTATATTGTTGTATGTGCTCGGATGTGGGAGTTACACCTAAATATTTACAGGTATCTCCGTATTTGTATATTATTTAGTAACCCATTATCACTCTGGAGAGTGGAACTATAGCGCTGATCGCTTTGAAATGTTCCATGAGGTTTAGTTATGGTCAAGGACAACGCCTATAATTTTCGGTGATGATCATATAATAATTTTGGAATGAAGTGGACCGAAAACTTAATTTTTTGTGTTATTTTCGAGTCGATCTATAGACTACAAATGAAAGCCGAACATCACAACACATCCCACGGTGAAGGGAATCTGGACAATAGCAGTACTGAATACTCGTAATATTCGAAAAATATGTCAGTGTAAGGACAATAGCTGTACTGAATACTAGTAATATTCGGGAAATATGTCAGTGTAAGGAAGAGGTGCTGTTTACCTCTAATCGGGTAAGAGGGTGCAAATATCACGAAATATTGCCCAGGCTCGGAATATACATCCGCAGAAAATTTGAGTTCCGTGGTAATTGTGTAGGGTATCGTATGGTCGGCCCCGTCCGACTATACTGCTCCGCTCACTGGTTAATATTGCATCCTTCATCATGATTTCAACGGACACAGTACCAGGCCGATGATACTTTTCGCTGGCGATGGTTGGCGTCCTTGTAGTTGGCAGCTTCCCCGGGTGAATACTATTCAGACCTGCTCGATAAGCTTCATGAATTTTAGAGTCTAGCAAGTCTATATTTTTGGATATTTTATCCTTATGAAATATATATTTTTTTGACTTTCGACAAATAATGATAGGATGATTAATGTAGCAACTAAAAATATCTATACGAAATCTCAATTTGTTCTTCTTCGAAAATGTTTTAATCTGATTTATGGAAATACCTTTTCCATTTTAACACATACATACATACCATATATTAAACTAGGAACATATTTCTTTATATGTTCCATATATTTATCATCCAACGGCCAATAACATTTAAAATCTGGACCATGTGGCATGGTGAATGAAACCTCTCGCTGGTATTCATCGCGTAATTCTAATATTTTATCCGAATAAAAGAAATAGCTGTCATCATAATCAATGCGATCCCAATCACTATCCATTGCACCCAAACAGGGTGGCACATCGGAGTCCTTTAGGACTTCATTTACCAAATCGTATGTAACCACACCGCCCGAGTGGCGGGCATATGTTTTTATATTCTAAAATAAAGAAAAAATTATATTTATAATTTATAAAAAGAATGATGTTGTAAATTCTATTACATTAACCAATTCCCATAGCTTATAGGAAACATCTTCGGCCACACGGGAACACACCTCATTCGATAATTCAATATCACTTTGATCATGTTGTTCCCAAATAATTTTTATTGAACGCGGCTCCAGACCGACATAACTTTTGTGATGATTCTGAAAATACAGGCAAAAAGAAAATACAAAAGAAAAAAAATTAATAAAAAAAACAGTTCATCAGCTTAGGCGCCCAACTTACTCTTGTTGCATTATTAATTTCATTATTATTTGTTGTACCAGAACCAACACCACCACTACCTCCACCACTTCCTCCTCCGCCACCAACCTGTGCTAATGACGGACTCTCAAACATATTTACCCCAACTCCAGTAACTCCTCCAATGCCACCACCACTACCAGCCAATGATGAGGTGGGAGTTGTTGGCATTAAATTCACTTGGTTTGTTGTTATTGTTGTTCCCTGTTGTTGTTGCTGTTGATGATGATGCTGCGGCTGCTGTGTTATCAGTGTTCCACCAGAACCGCTACTACTCGTTGCTGTATTTGCATTTTTATTCGAACTGCCACTCTGGGATTCGCTTTTACTTGATTTGGCCCGAGATTTTGTCGATTTCTTTGTGGACTTGGTTTGTGCTGTCTTTGATGTAGTACTGCTGCTGGTATCTTCACTCTGTTGTGTATTGGAATTTTTCATAATTTAATTTGTTGAAAAATATATTATTAAAAATTCGAATAAAAACAAAAATAAAAATGTTTTGTCAAACAACAATAAAACTTTTGCGAAAGAAGAACTGAAAAGAATAAACAAAACCAAGCAAACAAGAAATCAGCTGTTATCAGATGATGGGGTGGGCTTTTTTGTTTTTGTTATTTGCAAACTGCTAATAGAGGGTTGCCACCGTTTCTATATGGTGATACAAATGTCCAATAAATTCTTTTAAGGTTTAAATCTATTTGTTTTTAATTTAAAAACTATTTTTAAAACGGTATTTACACTATACTGCCCCACACACTATACTGCCGATGAGCCCCTGTCAAAATTCAATCAAAATTACAAATGGTCTGTTCCTGTACTGCAAGAATCTACTAGATTTTACTATTTTCTTCGATATCATAAAGGAAAATTCGTTATCGTAGTAAAAAGTACAAGATTCTTGCAGTACAGGAACAAACCAAAAAACATGATTTTTTCCTTCACAAAATTTTATTTTCGAATTAAAATTTGTATTATTTTATTTCATCACAATTATTTGTTTTTCTACTCCAAAATTTGTTTCTGACAAATTTGAAAATTACCGAAATTCACATACATTCTCAAACTGACACAAAATTACTAATACTACTTCAAATGCTGTCATGTATGCCCTATGGTGTGTGGGGCCCTTTAGAACTTTTTACCAGATTAACCTACTTCATGAGGATTTGTTTGACATATATGATATGGAATTGACAATTGAAACCCACTGGGTTAACGAAATCCGGTACAATGTAAACGTAGTCTCATGCAGACATATCTATGTATATATGATTCCAATTTTTTTCATAATCTATAAATATATTTTGTAACATCTATAAAGAGATGACGTTATAGAGTGTATACCACCTAGCCAAGACGAGGTCAGAATAGCAATTAATCGGTTGAAGAACAAAAAAGTAGCAGGAGCCGATGGGTTACCAGCCGAACAATTCAAAACTGGTGGTCAGATGCTGGTTAGGAGCATGCACCAGTTGATTAGTACAATTTGGTTAGAGGAATGCATGCCCAACGAGATTGGAACCTCAGCACCCTGTGTCCCGTGCACAAAAAAGAACACAAGACGATATGTGCCAACTATAGAGGAATAAGTTTTCTTCACATCGCGTATAAAGTGCTATCCAGTGTGCTGTGTGAACGACTGAAGCCAATTATCAATGACATTATCGGACTATACCAATGCGGCTTCATATCTGGCAAACCCCCCAGATTTTCTCTTTGCGTCAAATCCTGGAAAAGACCCACGAAAAACACATCGACACTTTCCACCTATTCGTTGACTATAAAGCCGCATTCGACAGCCCTGTCCGTTCAGAGTTGTTTAAAGGCATGTCGTCTACGTTCGGCATTCCTGCAAAATTAATACGGTTATGCAGGATAACTTTAAGTGGCACAAAGTCAGTAGTTAAATTCGGAAATGATCTATCGGAGCCGAACGAACGAGGATTCAGACAAGGTGGCAGTTTGTCGTGTTAACTGGTCAATACCCTGCTAGAAGAGGTGAGCAGAAATGGCACTCTGTACACCAAACAGCATATGTTACTCGCATACTCCGATGACATCGATATAATGGGCCGAAAATTGCGAGCGATAACAGCCACCTTTGAAAAAATTGAGGAGGAGTCTGCAAAAGTGGGTCTGACAGTTAACGGCGAGAAGACCAATTTGATGATATCAACGTGCAAGACGTCCAGTAGACTTGAACCAACTGTAGAACTTGAGAACTACAGTTTCGAGGAAGTTAATGATTTTATATATGTACATTGGTACCGCCATAAATAAAACGAATGACAACAGTTTTGAAATTCGGAGAAGGTTAGTGATGGCCAACAGATGCTACTATGGTCTAAGTAAGCAGTTTAGAAAGAAGGCCTCCTCCCTTCAGACCAAACTCACAATCCACAGTGCTGTTGTATGGATATGAAGCATGGCATACTTGCGCAAGCAGATGAGGCAGCTCTTGGGGTGTTTGAGAGAAAAATTCTCCGAAAGATCTACGGGCCGATCTGCGTCAACGGAGAATATAGGCGTCGAATGAACCACGAGCTTTACAATGTATACGCGGACATCGACATAGTCAGTCGTATTGAGCTGAAGCGACTACGGTGGTTAGGTCATGTTGTGCGAATGAATGAGAATTACCCAGTTCAAAAGGCATATAAAAGCGAGCCTACTGATGGTTCCCATAGAAGAGGAAGGCCACGAATAAGACGGAAAGATCAAGTCGAAGACAACATTGCCGAAGAAGATCTTTCAAATTGGAAAAAATTGCGAAAAAGACCGACGCGCCTGGAAATCTTTTCTCAGCTCGGCATATGGAACGAAAGTTCTGTCACAATATATATATATATATATATATATATATTAGTTGCTTATTTCCTTGTGGGTTCAAAAAATATTTTTTAAGGGTTATTGTTTTTTTTTTTAAATTCAATGCCTAGAATCATGGTATAATAATAGAAGGTAACAGCAAGTGTTGTTGTACAAAAAACGATACAACAACCACATGGAAATTTGTTGTTGTAAGTTCTACTAGTGTCAACTCATTTGACAGAAAAATGTAAACAAACAAGAAAATTATCATCAAATTATTTTTATTTTGAAAAAATATTTTCGAACCCTCAAAATAAAAATTGAAAAACATGAATGAAAATCTATCAAAATTATATTTCTATCGCTTCCACATCTTTCCTATAATTGAGCCATTGCCATATACATGTGTAACACATATGAAAATGCTGGGAATAGCGAGTTATTCCTTGAAGAAAGATTTGCTTCCTCAAACTTTCCCAGCAGGCAGATTGAGTGAATTGAATACGGGAGCACACTTAATAAAGAACAATTACAAATTGTATGCGTTCCCAATTTTCCTGTTGGGTGATTTTTAAAAACATAATTTTTCAAATTAATATTGACACTAGTATTACGTTGGAATCAAATCAGCTGGGATTTGCTGTTACCTTTTATAATTGTACCATGGCCTAGAATTAAAAAAAAAAAAAAAACAATACTAATAATAGGCGTAATCTGTAAGTCCGGATTTTAAAAACAATATTTTAAGGGTCATCCATAGGCGTCGATTTTCAAACCAATATTTTTAAGGGTCATCCATAGGCGTGGATTTTAAAAACAATATTTTTTAAGGGCCATTTCAAAATATGCCATAAGGGAAAACTTCTGACACACAACAAAGCGAAAAATTTCGATATGGTAACAGGGGGAATTTTCACAGCGATGAACAATCACATTGGCAACACTGGTTGTTAGAATTAAATAAACCGGTGAATAACAAACGTCTAATAGAGGGTTCGATATCAAAAAATTGCATTGCATTTTCACAACAAAACTCCCACTGACGTGTATTAGAAGAAAATTCCTAAAGGAATGGCATCAAAATCATCCGTATCCGCACTTCAAGAATACTGTGCCAAACATAAAATACCACCACCAACCTATGATTGCATTGATGCCGAAGACGGTACATCATTTATTTGTCGGGCTCAAGTAATGAATATGGAAGCCGACGGCCAGGGACGTTCTAAGCGTGATGCTAAGCATGCAGCTGCATCGAATTTAATAAAACGACTACGCGTTGAGTATCCGGATATTGATAATATACGGCCAGTGGAAGTTGTTCCGGTACCACCCACTGATATGATTGTAAAATTACGGGACTATTGTGTACAGCATCAGCATCCATTGCCCGTGTTTGAAATTGTTCAACAAGGTATGTAAACCAACCAACCACCACCATGGGAAATTCCGTTTCCTTTCAAAAATATAACAATGAAATTGAACATTTTAGGTGGTCCACCGGATGCACCGGAATTTATTGCATTGTGTTCGGTTGCATCGATACGACGTTATGGTGTATCGGATAAGAAAAAAGATGCCAAACAAATTGCTGCTACAAAAATATTTGATATCATTTTCAATGTAAGTGAGGAATATTTCAGAACTACTACCGCGGACATTATATTATTCGAAGAATCAAATAATCTATGAGCACGATTTTTCTTTTAACATAAATAATAATGTAATAATGTGGTGTAATCCTAAACAAATATTTTTAAGGGTCTTCCAGAAGAGGATTTTTTGTAAAGAAGTCTTCCTTAAATTTTGTAGAAAACAATTGAAGTTTTTTTAAATGTATTTTGAAAGGTCTTTCGTAGTCATGGATTTAAAAAAATATATGTTTAAGGTCCATCCACAAGCATAGATTTCAGAATATGCATAGAATCACTTTCTGAGACGATTTATGTATGTCTGTCCGTCTGTTCATGTTAAATAGTAAACAAAGTACTGGTCGCATTTATGATCCGAATTGGATGAAATTTGGCACAGCTGATTCATTTGGCCCAAGGACGAGCCCTATTGAAATTGGGAAAAATCGGTTTAGATTTAGATATAGCTCCCACATGTATTTTCGTCCGATTTAATGTAAACGGTCCCTCTATATCTTTCGATTTGCACGATATTTGGCACAGCCTAATGATTTAGGTCTAGAATGATGAGTGCTAAGTTTCGTAAAAATCGGTTCAGATTTAGATATAGCTCCCATATATATTTTCTTCCGATTTAATGTAAATGATGCACCAAAGTCCCTATATATCTTTCGATTTGCACGAAATTTGGCATAGTATACTGAATTGAGTCTAGAATGTTGTGTGCTAAGTTTCGTAAAAATCGGTTGAGCTTTAGACATAGCTCCCATACATATTTTCGTCCGATTTATTGTAAATGGTGCTCCAAAGTCCCTTTATGTTTCGATTTGCCGGAATATTGGCTTAGCGTAGTGAATTGCGTATAGTATGATGTGTGCTAAGTTTCGTAAAAATCGGTTCATATTTAGATATAGCTCTCATATACATATATTTTCGTCCGATTTAATGTAAATGATGCTCCAAAGTCCCTATATTTCATTCGATTTACACGAATTTTAGCATAGCGTATTGAATTGCGTCTAGAATGATATATATATTTTCGTCCGATTTTAAGTAAGTGTTTATTAAAGCATTGTTTATTTTATTTTTTAGGATATTGCCCCAATGGAACATGAAATGCAAGTAGCACCGATCGACACTAAAATCGAAGATATTGAAGCTGAACGATATCAAAAATTCAAAACCTATCGTGAACTAACCGAAAGTGGAATAGATGACCCACCGGGTATCTTATTGTGTGATCGACATAATTATTTTGCCAAATTTCACAATCATTTGAAAATGACAGCGAAAGAAATATTGCTTAGCGAAGCCTACGATGAGGACTATGAAAGCCAGGCAAAAGAGTTGTTACATGCTCTGAAAATAAGTCCACGGATTAAACAAGTATCGGCCGAAAAGACCATCGAACCAATTGTACAAATCGAACTCGATTGTGAATATGATGTATTATTTGCGAATACAGCTGAATATGTTTATAAGAATGTATTGGATTATTTTCGTGATATGTTGGATTATTAGAATATATAGTATATATATATATATATATTTATACATAGTATATATATATTATATATATAGCCCTAAGGAAATTGAAATATTTTCTTTTATTTAGTTTTTTTCAAATTTTATTTTTGTATAATAATTTACACAAGCATATATATCAATAATTAATTGCTTTATTACAATATGTATATAAATATTTATATATAATATATATTATTTTTGTTTTTAATTGGTTTATGCTTTCCATTAACAATTGCTTAGAGGTTTTTCTTTTATTTTTTTATAAAAATGATAATAAAACAATTCATTAAACAAAAAAAAAAAAAAAATAATAATGATAATAATAAATCACCTAATAGTCTTGTGGCAAAGTAAATACACCATCTAATAATTATTCTTACTTGGTAAAGAAAATAAAAAAATGATGTTTTAGGTATAAAACATAACAAAGATTTGTTTGTTTTTTTTTTGCTTTTGTTTAACTTTGTTTATATTTCTTGTTAATTCTGCCTTCGATAATAATGATAATAATAATAATATATTTAATATATATTTTTAATATAATATCTATAGTGGTACATATGAAATCCATAAGAAAAAAAATATTTCCTTTTCTTTTGTTTTTCAGATATTTAATTAACTAAATGAAAATAATATGTATATTGTATAAAAGAAATAATATTTATACATAATATTTATTGATCTTAAATAATTGAGGATTTGTAGAGGAGAGAGAAGGAGAGAAAGGAGTATATAAAAAGACACCATTTTGTGGTGTTTGTTTTTTGGGAAGTAGGATGCTTTAAATCACACTTATCATCAGCATTAACTTACAAAAAAAAAATTAATAATAATTTGATTATTATAACACTCGCACACACACACAATTCTTCTCTTTTTTGTTTTTTTTTTTTTTTTTTTTTTGTTTATTGTTTATTGTTGTTCCACAACAGTCACCTCAATGGGTGGTATAAATTTCCATATATGCTCCTGTTGTTCATGGTAGCTTTGAGCACCAACGGTTATATCATTGAGAGTTATATGCAAATTGGGATCATTGGCAGGGCAGGAACGTCGTGATAGCATTGTATTTGCTGGTGAGTGTTTTTGTTGCTGCTGCGGTGATGGTTTGGCATGACATTGAATACTGGTTTTAAATCGACCCGGTGTAAAAAATAGTACTGTACACTCATGATTGACTTTTTCATCTTTTTTCAATATGGGTATGCGTACTCTGCACAAAAGAGAGAAGAAAAATGAAATAAATATTAAAATGGAGAAAATTACTCCAAAAAAAAAATATCATTCTAGACTTAATTTAGAACGCTTTGACAAATTTCATGCAAATCGAATGATATATAGGGACTTCGGTGCATCATTTACATAAAATCAAAAAATATATGGGAGCTATATCTAAATCTGAACCGATTTTTCCTATTTCAATAGGGTTCGTCCTTGGGCCAAATAAATGAGCTGTCCCAAATTTCATCCAATTCGGATCATAAATGCGACCTGTACTTTGCTTACAATTTAACATAGACAGGCCGGCGGATGGACGGACATGTATAAATCGAGTCAGAAAATGATTCTATGTAATAATTCTCAAAAGGAACCATGTGTATCTCATTTCTCGTTTCCTTGTGTCTGCTACAAACATGTGCACACAAAGACATAATATCCTGTACCACAGTGTGGTGAAGTGTATAACAAATCCGATCAACTACGACCGATGTTTGATAATATTTTTTAAAAAGAATCACACGTACAGATGACCCTTAGGTTGGTAGTAAGTTTTCCAAGCTCCTCGTAATTGCGATTTTTTTAAAGCAACTTACCGATTAGGTCCCGATATTGCCACCCTTGTTTCCAGATTATAATTTTCCGTACCATTTAAATAATCCTGATAGAATTTTATGGTGAGTATTAGATTTTTCAATGGCTGCAATGATTGATTGCACACTGTAATGCTAAGCAGTGAACTTTGGCCCGCTGTACAAATCACCTCCGATTGCGGCTGAACGGGTTGATTTTTAAATGAGATGTCTGTAGGAGAAATTTCAAACAAAATAAAAATAAAAAAGGACTGGCTAAAAGAAATTATTTATACTTACTCCATTGTAATGGTGATACCGTACACAAATCAATCATGGCTTGTGTTAGAACAATACCCTTTAGTGATGCTATACCCTGAATGTCTGTACCCGACAATGACCATTTAATTTTAACCCTTTCGGCAATGTGTTTCGAACACAAACGACTCACAGAATCATTAAATGTGCCCATTTCTGTGCGAAAACATAATTCTGAAAAAAAGAAAACACAAGTTGTTGTTTTTGTAATAATGTGTATAAATATGTTTTGTGTGTTTGTGTGTGTTATACCTTTCTCCAAGTTCTCTGCAATTTCAGCTTCCCTTGCTGCCCATACCTCCTCCACCGAGCAACGATCAACCGGTATCGGTACACGACAACTTTCATTGGCCTCCATTGAAATGTTTTTATTATTTGTATAATTGAGCGTCATTTCTTGAGCAGTTAGATTTGTTATATCCAAAACCAAATAAAATTGAGATGGCCTAAAAAAAACAAAAATTAAAATATAATTTGAAATTATGGATTTGAAAAGATTGTTTAACAAAATAGCTACAGATATATAGGGACTTTGGTGCACCATTTACATAAAATCGGACGAAACTATGTATGGGAGCTATACCTAAATCTGAACCGATTTTCACGAAATTTAGCACACGTTATGCTATAGTAACTTCAGTACGTAGTGCAGAATTGTGTGTTAATCGTACATATTTTGGGGATTTGTTGCACCATTTACTGAAAATCGGATGATACTATATATGGGGGCTATATCTAAATCTGAACCGATTTCAGCGAAACTTTCCACACAGTTGGTTATACTAACTTCAGTACGTTGTGCAAAATTGTGAGTCAATCGGCCATATTTTGGAGCTTTGGTGCACCATTTACTGAAAATCGGACAAAACTATATATGGGAGCTATATCTAAATCTAAACCGATTTTCCCAATTTCAATAGGGTTCGTCCCTGGACTAAATAAATGATCTGTGTCAAATATCATCCAATTCGGATAATAAATGTGACCTGCACTTTGTTTACAACTTAACATGAACAGACGGACGGACAGACATACATAAATCGACTCAGAAAGTGATTCTATGCATATTCTCAAAAAGAACCATGGGTCCGTCTCCTTTCCTTTTGCCTGTTACAAACATATGCACAGGTATAAAAAGAAAAACTTACACTTCAGCCGGCAATACATCCCAACTGGTTATTTGAGCACTTTGTATACATTCCAATTTAAAATAGACTGCACATTGACGACAATATCCTTCTTGCATTGCATCGCCACCAGAATATTTTATACGTATTTGTGCATCGATCGGCTGGGCTTGATGAATCGAATTTGTATCGGCCGTTGTTAAACTCAATGCAGCCAATGAATGTTGAGCAGTAGATGATGTTGAACGAAAACTACTGTACGACATATCATTGCGACGTGTTGTGGCGGTCGTCGATGCAACAGACTGCTGACTGGGTGAACCAACACGTGATGGTAGACTGGTCGGACCACTATTCGATAATGTCGAAGAATACTGCAACGAGTGACTATGATCGAAGGGATGTGGATGGTGTTGGTGATGTGCCCCAGTGCTATTGGAATGTATAGATGCTGGTGCTTGATGATTGACATTGATGTTGGGACATATAAAATCAGCTTCAGCAAATATCTTCAATTTGAAATCGATGCTGCTTTGTGGAGCAATAGGCAATTTGGCCTGCAAATAAAAGACGAAATTATAAATTTGGTAGGAAATATACACATTTCGATTTGCTTACTTGTAAATCCTCATCTATTTGAAATACTTTCTTTTGTATTTCCTGTTCGAGGTTGGAGTTAATTGTAATTTCTAAATGTTCAACTGGTATATCACTAGTATTGGTTATTGTTATCACACACATCGACGATTCGCCATTGTATAGCGTTAGGCTAGCTGTGGTTATCACAGTATCAGCTCCAGACATGTTACTGAATGTTGCTGTTTGTGGCAAGGATGTTTTTACATTGATGATGGGCAATGCTGGTATTACATCGACAACAAAGTTGGGTGGAAATTTCCGATCCTTCATGTGTTTCATGCGACAATTCGACTTAACACCCAATGTGTGTGTACTATAACCTTGAATTTCCAATTGTCCCACTTCCATGGGGGTGCCATGCAAAGTGATTAATGTGGGTTTTTCGGGCTGCAATGTTACCGTTTGCGGTAGGGATTTGAAGACGATGCCATTGGTTAGCAAACGCATATCGCTGACAGTTAAATCGAATGGCAAAGGATTACGTAGTCGTACGGAAACTTCACTAACATTATTCTGGACCCAAAAGAATGCTAAAAACAAAAGGCAAAAAATAAAAATCATTTAAAAACCACAAAGTAAAACAACTATTGTGTAATTTCTCAACCACCACAATTAATTGCTAGTTGTTGTAATATCTTACCAATTTTATTTTTATCCTTGTTCTTATCTCGGCGATCCATTGAATTAAACTGCAAGGGTGTAAACAAGAATGGACCACTATCGGCTTTGGCAATTTTTATACGTTGCGGTCTCAAATGAGCCGGCAGATCTTTTACCACAATATCCATACAAAATGGTAAATCGGTTAGATTTGCCGGTGGTATAACCGTGCCGTTTTCCAATACCAAGGGCACTGGCGAACCTTCACACTGGGCGCTTAAATTCTATTGTAAAATAAAAAAAGAAAACATAAACATTGGCATTTGTGTTGTTGTTTTTGTCAACTCACTGATAATTGCACAGCCATATCACTTTGTTCGCTCAGTGACATATTATGCCATTGGGTTTGCAACAGAAATGTCATATGCCTGGTGGCCAGAGTCGAGTGTCCCAATCGTTTAGCTGCCGTTATTAACGATTGCAAGACATCAATTTGTAGCGAAGGCCAACCGGATTTATATTCCAACACTTCGAGTGGATCAAGTGATAACATATAACCAGGAAAGCTGGATAACATTAATCTATAAGTCTGTGACCAGTCCGTGTTCGATGAATTTTGATGGGCATGTTTAAGGGCAGCTAAACGTTGAAAGAAAGCCGCCTTACGTCTATAGCCAATTTGCAGATATAACGAGGTCATCATTTCAAAACTTTTAATACGTTCCGCTTCAGTCATACTGTGGGTAACGTAGAGAACATTTTGCAAAAACATTGCCACATCGAGCGGGCGATTTTGTTCAATCATAATGCGGGATGCCTTAAAGGCCGATTCAATTTCCACTATGGCCGCATGACTATATTTGCTATATTTTATAATGGCATTTTTAAAATAAGTTAGAATTTCATCGGGTTTCAAAATATTTCCCGGCAATTCCGAATGATGTCGTGGACTTGTTGCTGACAGGGTGGATATCGTCGACGATGACGAGGAGGATGTGGAATTTGATAATGTTGAATTTGTTAAAATTGACGAAACGGAAGAGGTGGAAGCTGAAGCGGAGGGTGTCGCCTGGTGAGTAGGTGTGGTGGCCGCCGTTGCTTCATTATGTTCCTCTTCCGGTTGGTTATTTGCTGTTCGATCGTTGGCATTATAGCGTTTGGTGATTTCACTTTGTCTCCATTTGTTTGGGGTGCATTTAAGCGGTGAACCTTCCTGCAGCGATGCATTACGATGTAGAGTCTCATCGACTCTTAGCTGAGGGAAAAGTAAACAAACCGAGGCCGAGCACAGACCTTCCTCCGCAGCGCCCAACCACAGAATATCGTTAATAGAACGTAACGTTTCGCAGGCATTATGATACAACGTTAAAGCTTCAGTTATTAGTCCTGCTTGCAGCGATAAATCTGCAAGATTTTTAACAATTCGGCCACCGACACGTTTGCGATTATTCCTCGATTCCATATCCAAACCGACAAAGTCTCGCTTTTCAAAGGGTGCCATTATCAGCGTCCACTTTTCCATTTTTTCACGAGAACGTTCCAGGCGACGTGACTCCAATACCCAAAATAGGGCATTTATGAAATCCACCATATGATGCTCCAGATCTGAGCAAACATCATTTTCACGATAAAAGAATGCCTGAGCTTTGAAGTTGGACGGTGTGGTAAATTCATCTAGGAGGCGTTTGGAACTACTATTGACGGCCGTAGCAGCTGGTGAATCTTGTTGTTTTGAATCTGTGGGTTCTATATTCTCCTTGATTGTATCTAAATGCATAGTGGATTCATTGGAATCAATGTGGTTTGTAGTAGTAGTTGTGGATAGAGGAACATTTTCTGGAGTTGTTTCGGCCGGGCCAAAAAATATGGCCCTCGAATCGTACAGGGTGTTGACATAACGCACCTTCAACGACTCATGTTGGCGACACATTTCATTCAGTTCTGTCTGATTTTCGAATTTGCCAATTGTTATTAGACCCAATAGCCTGCGATGTGTTTGAAAATCTCCCCAGTCATTGTTCTCTACCGGATAGTCGTGTATATAACGTACCCAAATATCACGTACCAAACCACTGGAATCTAAAAGGTTTAATTTTTTGTTTTTAAATTATTTTTTTTCATATAGCAGCAAAATGCATGGATGGATGGATACCTTGAATTTTGACATTATTGACACGTTTCACTTTATCAAAGATTTTCTGTAAAGATCTTGGTTTCGATGAACCCACTCCACGCAACAATACCAACAATGTGCTGTGATGTAGTATTGTTTGTTCATAATCAGGACGCGACATGATGATGATACTGGAATTCCAATTTAGTTGAACAAATCTATTCGCAATTATTCCGTTTCACATTTCAATATTAAATAATTATATAAATACAAATAATGATTTTTGTTTATTTTTTTCTTCCCAACAAATGGAAGATTACTTTTCCTCTTCGTGGAAGAAGGAAGGCGTACAATAATAATAAAATACGTGTTAATCTCTTCGATAGCAAATATAATATTGTCTAAGGCCAGAGGACTTGACTTTTCCGCACGATTTCTTTTGTTGCACTGTGTATATGTGACAAATAATTGGTTGTTTACATTCGTAATTGCACTAACACATATAACGGTAATTGCATTTAGCAAGAATTCAACTATAAATATTTATTTAAATTCTAATTCCATTTTTTCACACAAAACTAATTTCATAGGAATAAAAAAATTGACTTTTGATTAATCGATTACACAATAACACAAATCGGTGGGGGCCTTTATCGATTGTCGCCAGGGTTCAATGAACGGCGTCTGATGACGGCTCTGTGTTTTTTTTTAGTTTAGGAATGAGAAAATTTCCGTTTAATTGAAAGAAAAAAATAAATGTCTATATGTTTAATATTGTTTACATTTATTTTGTTATTGTAAAAACAATAAAACAAACAAATGAAATTGTTCATGGTAAAATTATAAAAGGTAACAGCAAATCCCTGCTGATTTGATTCCAACGTAATACTAGTGTCAATATGAATTTGGCAAATTATGTTTTTTTTAAAAATCACCCAACAGGAAAATTGAGAACGCATACAATTTGAAATTGTTCTTTATTAATGTGCTCCCGTATTCAATTTACTCAATCTGCCTGCTGGGAAAGTTTGAGGAAGCAAATCAATGGTTCAATTAAAGGAAAAAGATAGAAATATAAATTTGATAGATTTTCATTCATGTTTTTCAATTTTTATTTTGAGGATTCGAAAATATTTCGTTTTCAAAATAAAAACAATTTGATGATAATTTGTTTGTTTGTTTACATTTTTCTGTCAAATGAGTTGACACTAGTAGAACTTACAACAACAAATTTCCATGTGGTTATTGTATCGTTAGTTGTACAACAACACTTGCTGTTACCTTTTATACCTTTTATTTATTTTTTTTTCCAATTAACTGCTCTCCTCCTTGGCTCACGTCCTATTTGGTATTAGAATGTTCAGAGCCATGTCTCCATATGTAGCTTAAGCTACGAATTTGACTTTATCCATAGATGGTGGTTTGTGTTTTGCAGGTTGAAAGCGAAGTTCTTCTATATTAGTCTTATAGAATTTGACCACAATGTTCAGACTTTCTAAGCCTTGTGTATCAGTGAACTCTTCTACTGTGAAGGAGTCACATAGTTGCGAAAAGCATCTTCTTTTGTTATTAAATTTACGAAAATTAAAAATTTCATGCGCAGCTTTTTGCAGGCACGATTCTGTAGAACGAAAACTGGTAAGTTATAGGTTATCCGTATTTGAAAACACACGTGTTAGTTAAGCGAACGCTTAACAACCGCCATTTTGTAAAAATCTATTTTTAAGCCCGTGGGCGTGTAATACTCATTTAAAATTTTTAAGGTCACGTCTTTCTTGTGAGCCGTCCGAGGACGAACTGCTGTTACCTTTTATTATATTTACGAGCATCTAGAACAGCATATGACAGCAAATCGAGATGTACATAAGGCAGAATGAAGTCCGGAAATTTGACCAACGAATAAAACACCAAACCGAAGGCTTTGGTGCAGGCACATTCTCCTGTAGAGATGAATATGGAAAACTGGTGACAGGTAAAAATAGCGTGTTGAGGATCTGAAAGGAGAATTTTGAAAAGCTTCTGGTTTCAAATAATGGCGATGAAGAAGTTTTGTCTACACATAAAAGATGCAATAACGACATTGTTATTCTGCAAAAATGTAGACAAATTGTCGATAAACTTTCAAAAAGCTTTTAATTTTAATCATTTTGAAAACAAAATACATACAAATTCAGAACAAAACAAGGCTGTTCAATATTGTAAAATATTTGTCGATAAGTTAACATCGAATATTTTGGTGTTGTTTATTAACAAAAATTTTAACAATTTTTAACAACAATTGTTATAGAATTGAAATATTGTTTATTTTGTCGTTATAATGTATTTCGATTTGAGAATTGTTTAAATTTTATAGTGAATCGACCAACAGGCCTGGCAAATCACATCGACACATTCCACATATTCGTCGACTATTAAACTCCTTGTACATTAGAACTTTTTACCTGGTTAATCTACTTTATGAGGATTATTTGACGTATATGCAAAGGAATTGACAATTGAAACCTACTGGATTAACGATATCCGGTTAAATGTAAACTTACTATTAAGCTGCAATCGACAGCTCTATCCGTTCAGAGGTGTTTAAAGCCATGTCTGAATTCGGCATTCCTGCAAAATTAATGCAGCTATACAGGATAACTTCAGTAGTGTTGGCGGTTTATTTGGGATACCATTTGTATTTTGTTTTTGCAAAATAGTCAGGCTGAATCCCAGTGTCGCTTTGTTACAAGAGACATTTGGGTATGAAAGGGTTTTTGTATAGAATCAATAGCTTCTGGGGAGAATATCCCAACAAAAAACTAAGGGAACTGATGAGGATCAGTGGCGTGATCCGAAACTATAGTCTTCCCTGCCTTACCCCTCGGCAAACAATGCCATACATTCCCCACTAATAAATAGTTGTTTTTTTATAAAAACAACAAACTGGGATTCAGCCTGACTATTTTGCAAGAACAATATACAGGATAACTTTAAGTTGCACAAGGTCAGCGGTTAAAGTCGGAAAGGACCTTTCGGAGCCCTTCAATACCGAACGAGGTTTCAGATAAGGTGACAAAGTTTGTCGTGTGATCGCTTTAACATCCTCTTGGAAAAGGTCATACGAGGGGCAAAGGTGAACAGAAATGACCTTCTTTACACCAAACAACACATGTTACTCGCCTACGCCGATGACATCGACATAATGGGTCGAACATTGCCAAAGTGGGTCTGGCAATAAACGGCGAGAAGACCAAGCTGATGGTATCAACGCGCAAGACGTCCAGTAGACTCGGACCACAAACTGTGGAACTTGAAAACTGCAGCTTCGAGCTGGTCAAAGATTTTATATACCTTGATACCACCATAAATAAAACGAATGACGTCAGTTTTGAAATTCGGAGAAGGGTTGTGATGGCCAATAGATGCTACTATCTAAGTAAGCAGTTTAGAAACGAGGTCACCTCCTGCCAGACCAAACTCACACTTTACAAGACGCTGATACTATCCGTGCTGTTTGTATGGATCTGATGCATGGGTACTTGCGCAATCAGATGAGACAGCTCTTGAAGTGTTTGAGTGAAAAATTATCCGAAATGTTTATGGGCAAGACGTCCTGTAGACTCGGACCAACTGTGGAACTTGAGAACTACAGCTTCGATGTAGTCAAAAATTTTATATACCTTGGTACCGCCATAAACAAAACTAATAACATCAGTTTTGAAATCCGGAGGAGAATAGTGTTGGCCAGCAGATGCTACTATGGTCTGAGTAGGCAACTCAAAGCAAGGCCACCTCCCGCCAGTCGAAACTCACACTATACAAGACACTGATACTAACCATGCTGTTGTATGGATCTGGGTACCTACGCAAGCAGATGAGTCAGCTCTTGGAGTGTTTGAGAGAAAAAATTCTTCGAAGATTTTTGGGGCATGGATTTTTTTAAAGAAAATGTTTAGTCTTAAATTAATTTTTTAAAAAATATTTTTTATTATTATGGGCATGGTTTTTTTAAAGAATACCACACCATATAATCTGGTTACACCATTATTAGGTTCGTTCGTTTACTCAATAATTTGTACGAATTTGTACAAATTATTACAAAATGTTGTTCGTTTACCCAAAAGTCCAGTAAAAGAGAGTGAATTGAGAGAGCAGATTTGACAGTTGTGTTACTGAGTATTTGCAAATTCTTACTAGGAAAATTTACTCAGTAATGGTGTTTTTACACGATATGTATTTTACATATGTGCTGTCACTTTTTCATCCATATGTAATTCCTTATGTGTGTCAAAATTAGCAGTGTACACAAAACATTTATTTTTGTGTTCAAATCGGCATATGTATTTTACATATGACATAACCTATAAACAAAAAAAACATTTTTATTTTTGCTTAAATCAACATCATTTTTTTATTAAACACCTACAAACGAAATAATAATTTGTAATTGTTGCCTTTTCATCCTTTTTTTTTGAATTGCAATTGAAATATTTTCTTCCAACAATGTGTTTCATTCAAACAGCTGATTTCCTTATGTTTCACATACGAAAATAGAGCGCGTCCTATTCGGAAAAAAATACATATGTAATTGCATATCGTTTTGACACATTGAAATTTCCGTATGTTTCACATGACGAGTTCGATTTCCATATGTAAAAAAGTGACAGCACATATGTAAAATACATATCGTGTAGAAACACCATAAGGAATTTCTTGTACCATCAGCTGATATTTAATCAGCTGTTTTGTTATGTTTTGTAAACAAACAAAAATTTTTTCTCAAGAAAATTGATTGTTTTGTGAATAAATAGTTACAATTTACCGGCCACAACCCTTTTAAATGTTTGTGGGGAACAAACTATTTCTATTTTCCGCTTGTTATCCATTTTTCTAATAAAAATGCTGTTTTTAGTTTGCGCCAATTTGTTTGTTGTTTTAATCAGCTGTGTCGAAACAATCTTTTTACTGGATGTTGTTCGTTTACTTTTTGCAGTTTTCTCTCTTGAGAAGGAAAAATTCGTATTTACTCTCTGCAAATTCTTACTGAGTAAATATTACTGGGAAAGTAAACGAACGAACCTATTAATAACCAAGTCAGCTGTTATTTCATATCAGCTGTTCGAATTTTTTGTTTTGATTTTTATTTTTTATCGGCGATTTGTTCTTTTTTATTCATATTCGTAGTTCGGCGTGGTTTGTTTTCTTTTTAAAGAAACAAATTTCGAATTAAAATATTATTGGATTTTTGAGTGAAATCAAATCCGAAACAAAATGAATTTATTACCCAAAACCCATGAGGAATTCGCCACAGTTGACTATTGGAATACCTTCTTTAAGAAACGTGGAGAAAAGGCTTTTGAATGGTAGGAATATGATGAATGGGAACTACACCTCAACACAAAACCACATTGATATTTTCCTTTCACTTATTTTGAATATTTGTTTTGTTTCGTTTCAACATAGGTATGGTGAATATTTGGAATTATGCGAACAGATCCATAAATATATCCGGCCGAATGATAAAATTCTTATGGTTGGTTGTGGCAACTCCAAATTGAGTATGGATATGTATGATTCGGGATTTAAGTAAGTTTTTTTTTAAGACAATATATCATAACATGGTAGGAGGTGGCGGCGATGATTCCAGCATGCATTTTTTAGATTTTCTATAATGGAGGAAAAAATAATATTATAGGTATTTAGAAATATATTTTGGCTATGCCAAATTTCGTGCAAATCGAAAGAATTATACGAACTTTAATACACCATTTACATTAAATCGGACGAAAATATATGTGGGAGCTATATCTAAAACTCAACCGATTTTCTCGAAACTTAACACATGTCATTCTAGACTTATTTCCGTAGGCTATGCCAAATTTCGTGCAAATCGAAAGATATAAAGGGATTTTGGTGCACCATTTACATTAAAACGGAAGAAAATATATATGGAAGCTATATCTAAATCAGAACCGATTTTCACGAAACTTAACACATGCCATTCTAGACTTATTTCCGTAGGCTATGCAAAATTTCGTGCAAGTCGAAAGATATATAGAGACTTTGGTACACCATTTACATTAAATCCGATGAAAACATATATGGGAGCTATATCTAAATCTGAACCGATGTTCACGAAACTTAACACACTTCATTCTAGACCTAATTCAATACGCTGTGCCAAGTTTCGTGCAAATCGAAAGATATACAGGAACTTCGCTGCACCTTTTACATTAAATCGGGCGAAAATGTATATGGGAGCTAGAACTAAATCTGAATCGATTTTTACGAAACTTAACACACGACATTCTAGACTTAGTTCAGTACGCAATGCCAAATTTCGTGCAAATCGAAAGAAATTTAGGGGCTTTGGTGCTCTATTAATATAAATTCGGACGAAAATATATATGGGAGCTATATCTTAATCTGAACCGAGTTTTCCCAATTTCAATAGGGTTCGTCCTTGGGCTAAATAATTGAGCTGCGCCAAATTTCATCCAATTCGGATAATAAACGCGACCTGTACTTTGTTTACAATTTATCATGGACAGACATGCAGAAATCGACTCAGAAAGTGATTATATATATTCTCAAAAGGAACCATGTGTCTGTCTCGTCTCCTCTTGCCTGTTACAAACATATGCACTAAGACATAATACCCTGTACCACAGTGTGTTGAAAGGTATACAAATTTCTACTTTATTTTTCTATCTTTTCCAGAGATATAACCAACATCGATATATCCGCTGTGGCGATAAAGAAAATGCAAGAAGCAAATGCGCGCACTCGTAGCGATATGAAATTCATACAAATGGATGCCACCAGCATGAGTTTTGATAATGAACAATTTTCGGTGGCGTTGGATAAGGGTACATTGGATGCGTTGTTTGTCGATGACACGGAGGGTACACAAAAAACTGTTGAGGCTTATTTTAAAGAAATTGCACGGGTATTAAGAAATGGCGGACGTTATGTTTGCATATCACTGCTGCAAGAACATATTTTAAAATATATTATTGAATATTTTCCCAAAAATGCATTTATGTTGCGTATCGTTCATTGTCCCGATGCTGATGCAGCTAATCAAGAGAAAAATCTTGAAAATCCTGATGCTGTATCAATGCCGGTGTTTACAATAGTGGCAACAAAATTTAAATCACTGCCAATGCCGGTGAGTTGCTGTTGCTGTTGTGTTTTTTTTTTTCAATATTGTATTGCAAGTTTTTTATTAATTTTTTATAGATTCTAGAATTCAGCTATACCAGTGATAAAGTTCAACGCTGCAAATCCGCCCTAGATTTACAAAATTCCGTGAAATCTCTACAAACTGCGGCAGTGGTCTGCAATGGCCTTGGTCGTACCGATGTGGTTGGCCACAATGACGTCAGCATTGATTTGTGTAGACCAGGTGAAAATGTCGCACGTTATACAGTACACATTGTAGATCAACCACCAGCCAGAGGTCTAGGAAAATATGCCGTTTTTCTGGTGCCACAAGGACGGTAAGTTCGATTTCATATTCATAACCAAAGATTTCAGATTTTTCAGATGTGTTTGCATTTTATTTTGCAGAGAGGTTGAATGGCTGTTTGCCACATCGAAGGGCCGCAGAAAACTTTTGGAACAATCCAAATTCCAACGCATGGCTGTAGTTACATTACATCGCGAACAAAGTTATCTATCAATGGACGAAGTTAAAGCCGAATTGTCGGATAGTGTAAAAAGTTTTGCACCCGTTGGTTTGAAGGATCAGGTAATGAAATGAAATTTTATAATTTCCGTCGAGTTTGGATGTTTTTCGAGGACTACCTTTCAAGGTCCAGATACTGGATGAAGAAATTGCTATAAAAATTCATGCCTAAGGGCCAGATACTGGATGAAGAAATTGCTATAAAAATTCATGCCTAAGGGCCAGATACTGGATGAAGAAATTGCTATAAAAATTCATGCCTAAGGGCCAGATACTGGATGAAGAAATTGCTATAAAAATTCATGCCTAAGGGCCAGATACTGGATGAAGAAATTGCTTTAAAAAATCCACGCCTGAAGGCCAGATACTGGATGAAGAAATTGCTTTAAAAAATCCACGCCTGAAGGCCAGATACTGGATGAAAAAATTACTTTAAAAATCCACGCCTAAGGGTCTGATAATCGCTGACAAAAATTTCTTTAAAAATCCACGCCTAAGGATCTGATAATCGCTGACAAAAATTGCATTAAAAATCCACGCCTAAGGGTCTGATAATCGCTGACAAAAATTGCTTAAAAAATCCACGCCTAAGGGTCTGATAATCGCTGACAAAAATTTCTTTAAAAATCCACGCCTAAGGATCTGATAATCGCTGACAAAAATTGCATTAAAAATCCACGCCTAAGGGTCTGATAATCGCTGACAAAAATTGCTTAAAAAATCCACGCCTAAGGGTCTGATAATCGCTGACAAAAATTTCTTTAAAAATCCACGCCTAAGGGTCTGATAATCGCTGACAAAAATTGCTTTAAAAATCCACGCCTAAGGGTCTGATAATCGCTGACAAAAATTGCTTAAAAAATCCACACCTAAGGGTCTGATAATCGCTGACAAAAATTGCTTAAAAATTCCACGCCTAAGGGTCTGATAATCGCTGACAAAAATTGCTTTAAAAATCCACGCCTAAGGGTCTGATAATCGCTGACAAAAATTGCTTTAAAAATCCACGCCTAAGGGTCTGATAATCGCTGACAAAAATTGCTTAAAAAATCCACACCTAAGGGTCTGATAATCGCTGACAAAAATTGCTTTAAAAATCCACTCCTAAGGGTCTGATAATCGCTGACAAAAATTGCTTTAAAAATCCACGCCTATGGGTCTGATAATCGCTGACAAAAATTGCTTTAAAAATCCACGCCTAAGGGTCTGATAATCGCTGACAAGAATTGCTTAAAAATTCCACGCCTAAGGGTCTGATAATCGCTGACAAAAATTGCTTTAAAAATCCACGCCTAAGGGTCTGATAATCGCTGACAAAAATTGCTTTAAAAATCCACGCCTAAGGGATGAAAAATTGCTTTAAAATCCACGCCTAAGGGCCAGATACTGGATGAAAAAATTGCTTTAAAAATCCACGCCTAAGGGTCTGATAATCGCTGACAAAAATTGCATTAAAAAATCCACGCCTAAGGGCCAGATACGGGATGAAAAATTGCTTTAAAAAATCCACGCCTAAGGGCCAGATACGGGATGAAAAAATTGCTTTAAAAAATCCACGCCTAAGGGCCAGATACTGGATGAAAAAATTGCATTAACAAATCCACTCCTAAGTGTCTAATATTTGAAAAAAAAAATTATTTATATTTTATAATTTTGAAAAAGTTTCATATTTGTTTTTTTTTAGATTCCCTATTTATCCATTGGCGCTGATATGGGAACGCGTACAACTTTGTTCAAAGGCAAATCAGATATATCCGGCGATTTTGTCGTTGAGGAAGTTGAAGGATCGGATGGTAAAACGTTTCGACGTCTCATTTTTATGAGCAATCAGGCTGTGGTGCAATCAGAAGCGTTGATTAAGAAGGGTAAGGGCAATGGAATCAATGGAAGTCATTCCATACTCATTAATTTGAAGAAGAGTCAGTAATAATTTATATATATTTTTTTAATATAGGCAAGAATCAGGATAATATTGATTTTGGTTATTTAGCATGCCAGCATCATGCCTATATGTCGCTGGGTGTACAATTGATTGCCGAGTCACAAGAACAAATGATAAAGATTTTGGTTATTGGTTTGGGTGGTGGAGGTCTATGTATGTTTCTTCACGAGGCAGTGGGGTAAGTTATAATTATTTAATATAAATTAATCTGATAATAATAATAATTATTTTTGTTGTTTAATATTTCAGCAACATTGATATTACCGCTGTCGATATAGATCCAGCCATGGCAAATGTGGCTGAAAAATATTTTGGGCTGCAGCAAGATGAACGTCTGCATGTTGTCATAGAAGATGGTTTGCAATTTTTAAATTATTGTCGCAAAGAAGGTAAATATATCTCAAAATTTATAGCCAACTCCTCAGCTCCTTATTTGTATTTTTTCTTCTTCTTCCATTAGGTCATAAATATGATGCCATACTATTTGATGTCGATAGTAAAGATTTGACACTGGGCATGAGCTGTCCCCCACCCTCGTTTATGGCCAATGATGTTCTGCTAAATCTAAAGTCACTTTTAAATGAAAGTGGTTTATTTATATTGAATTTGGTGTGTCGTGATGACACGTTAAGAGATCAAACTATCGGCGATTTGAAAACGATATTCCCCTCGGTGTGTTCGTATAAGCTAGATGAAGATGTTAATGAAATTATTTATTGTACAAATAATGAAAAATTTAAAAAATTATCGGTATGGAAGAAATGTCTTGGGTCATCGGGTAGAAAATTAAATGATCTAACCAAAAAGAAGAAATTGTGCAAAGATGAAGTTTTAGATGTAACCGAATTTTTAAGTGAATTGAAAATATAATTTGTAATTGAGAATTACATGCAACTGTTGTTTGTATATAAATTTAATTCGTTGGATTTAATGAAGTTTACCAGAAGAAGTATCAGATATTTCATTTTCTGGGCGTCTCCTAAGTAGGGAGTTCTTAATCTTATCAATAAGCTTGAATCTTAAGCTTGAAATAGTGAGCTGATATGTGCCGTGAGTTCACCCGTAAGCACTATAAAAAATGGATTGAGGCGTCGGGTTAATTGCCCACACTCGGAAAATTCCTCCTACTATGAAAAAGCAAAGAAAAAGAGAATGAAAGACCTCGTGTCCAGATTCACTACAATATATAAGCGAATCATCAGTCTTATTTGCGCCCATGCTCCGACCGAAGACAAAGATGAGCATGAGGTTGATTGACTTCGCGGCAGCAAAAAACATGGCATATCGATATACACAGGGTCACCTGCATTTCTCCTGATCAAGCAACGAGAAATTAAATTGATCATTATGTGATAGACGGAAGGCATTCATCCAGTGTATTATATGTTCGATCGATCAGAGGAGCGAATATCGATTAGGGACCACTACCTTGTAGCAGTCAAGGTTCGCACTCGTCTTAATGTTGCAGCAAAGGTGCGATCTAATACAACACGGAAACTCGACCTCGAAAACCTGCAAACACAACAGGTAGCCGAGGCCTACTCCACTCAACTTACCCAATTCCTTGACGAAAGCACCCCTTGTCACGATAATAGTATAGAAGCACAATGACAAAGAATTGCCCACACCCTACAAACTGCAGCAAAAGCATCACTTGGGTACCACCAAGAAATCCATGGTATATTGTGTTGAGGATCTGGAAGGAGCATTTTGAAAAGCTCTTGGTATCAAATAGTGGCGGTGAAGAAGATACCACAGAACCAATAAGAGATGATGGTATTAGAGTGTACGAGGTCACAAAAACAATTGATCGGCTCAAGAAGAATAAAGCAGCAGGAGCCGATGGGTTACCAGTCGAACTATTCAAGACTGATGGTCAGATGCTGGTCAGGAGCATGCACCAGCTGTGTCCCGAGCACAAAAAAGGACACAACACGATATACACGAACTATAGAGGAATAAGTCTTCTTCCCATCGCATATAAAGTGCTGTCCAGCGCGCAGTGTGAACGACTGAAGCCAATGGTCAATGACATTATTGGACCATATCAAAGCGGCTTCAGATTTTCACTCTGCGCCAAATCCTGGAAAAGACCCACGAAAAACACATCGACACATACCACCCATTCGTCGACTATAAAGCCACATTCGACAGCCCTATTATATTCCTGCAAAATTAATACGGCTATGTAGGATAACTTTAAGTGGCACAAGGTCAGCAGTTAATGTCGAAAAGAACCTATCGGAGCCCTTTAATACCGAACGAGAATTCAGACAAGGTAACAGTTTGTCGTGTGATCTTTTTAACATCCTGCTGGAAAAGGTCATACGAGACGCAAAGGCGAACAGAAATGGCACTGTGTACAAAAAACAACACATGTTACTCGCCAACGTCGATGACATCGATATAATGGGTCGAACATTGCGAGCAGTAATAGCCAGCTTTGAACAAATTGAGGAGGTCTGCCAAAGTGGAACTGGCAGTAAACGGCGAGAAGACCAATCTGATGGTATCAACGCTCATGACGTCCAGTAGACTCGGACCAACTGTGGAACTTGAGAACTACAGCTTCGAGGTAGTAAACGATTTTATGTACCTTGGTACCGCGACTGCGGTGGCTAGGCCATATTGTGGGAATGCATGAGAATGCTCCAGCTCAAAAGGCATATAAAAGCGAGCCTACTGATGGTTCCCGTAAAAGGGGAAGGCCACGAATTAGATGGAAAGACTAAGTAGAAACCAACATATTGAAACGTGGTCTTCCAAATTGGTGGGGATGCGCACAAGACCGACGCGCTTGAAAATCTTTTTTAAGCTCGGCTTATGGAACAACCGTTCTGTATTCTTTAGAAATTCGCAGGCATTGAAAAAATATTTTTTAAAAATTCGTAGGCCTTGAAAAAATATTATTTAATAATCGAAGCCTGGACCTTGAGACTAGGCTGTGCCGATCGACGGTTATAATCTTCATCTGCTCATGAAGATGTCCAATACGGATTGAAGCTGCTACACCATTCCGATCTCAGTTTTCTCGCTGGCAGGATTACTCCGAGGACTAATAATCTTAAAACTATTAAAACTTATTTCCATCTAGTTGCTGCGAGTAGTTTCGAATAAAATTTTAATATGTTCCATTACTTACAATTTCTTTTAATATTCTTTGAACAAGAATAACGTGTGAATTTATTATTTTTTTCATAATCATAATAATAAAATATAATAACTATAAATATATAAGATACATAGAGAATATAATACATTTTGCGATACGATATATGTATATCGTATGTGAGTGTGCATTTTTATTTTAATTTTTTCCTCTTCTATTGTTGCTTCGCCACAATTATTTCAATTTAATTGTTGATGTCAATTGTTTACGTGGTCCCGATTGCCGTTGACGTGATAGAAACGTTTGTCCTTGACCCAACAGCATTGCCAACTTGGCATCGATTATATCACGTTGGGTGTTATTGGCCAATTTATAGAATGCCGTGGCGATGAGGTTCTCTTCAATTGTGGAAAATTGTAGCCTCTTTTCGTCGACGGCAGCACCAAAATCTTGTATATTATCGACTAAATTCAGTTCGGTCATTGTACGAGGATCCATATTCTTAATTACATCCTTTGCCCGTTCAACACATTTGCGATATTTGGTATCGAGTGCCAGCAATTCTTGATCCTTTGCCGCCAATGCGGATTCAAGTTGGGCTACTTTATTTTGTAGTCCAGCATTTTGATTGGCATATTCTTCGACCTGACCCGATTTTTGTTCATTAAGTTCGAGTAGTTGTTTTAGTTCTTCCGCGGATGTGGTGGCTTTATCATCGCCAGCGGCCGATGAGTGGTGGGTGAGTAACATAATACGTTCCGTGGCAGATTTTAATTGTTCGCGCAGATTGCTGTTGCGTTTATTGGCATCGTCTAGCAGTTGCATTAGGGCCGTTTGGCCACCTTGTCCCTCGCGCAATGCCTTATTTTCGATTTCCAGCCTGCGGACACGTTCATTCAAAACGGAGGGCTGCAATTCATTGGACATGGTGGTTGTAACATCTCCCGAGTCTGTAGAAAGGTGACCACATCTCAATTCATCCAAAGCCTCCCGTAAACTGTTCCTCTCCTTGAGCAGACCCTCCTTGGCCTGTTGCAGGGAGAATATTGTCTCCTCCATGGCTTTGCTTTCGAATTCCAGTTTCAAATTATTGCTGATTTCCTTTTCCAGTTTTGTGTGCAAGTCTTGGACCTCCTTCTTGTACAAATCGATTTGTCCCTTGAGGGCAGCACACTTCTTAGCATCCTCTTCAAATTGGGCGTTTTGTTGTAAATATTCGGCACTTCGTTCGTCTAACATTTTCAATTGTTTCTTTAGATCGGTGTAGTCTTCCAGTTTTTTCTTGTACGTCTTGACCTGGGTCTCGCATACCTTCAGCTTCTCATTGGTCTCGCGCAGAACATCGATCTCGTCTTTCAGTTTCAGAAATTCCGAGTTGACTTTGTTCAGCTCCTCCACCCGCTGTTGCAGCAATTGGATTTCCGATTCTTGTTCTTGCGACTTGATACGTAGATCTTCGCGAGCAGTTTCCGACTGCAGCAGTTCCTCTTTCATTTGATCCAGTTGTTTGCGCATATCATGATATCTCGTTGATCCGGTATTCACCGGACCCAGTGAAACTCCGTCATCTCCAATCACCGGGGCCAGTTCGAGTTTCTTTACATCCTCCTGTAGCTTTGTTACCTCGGAGCGTAGATTGGTATTCTCCTCCACTAAGATAGCAATCTTCTTGTCCAGCTCAAAACATTTTTGGGCCAAACGATCCCTATCCTCCTGCAGCAGTTTATTGTCCAAATTTGCAATATTTAGGGAATTCTTTGACATTGACGATCCTTGGCATGAAGATTCAAGTTCCTGAAGGGCTTTCATGATATTCGCCTGCAGAGACTCTTCCAATAGCATAATGTCACGAATGTAGTCCTGTTTCGTGGCACAGTTGACAGCACAACCCAATATCAGCTGCAACAGTCGTTCCAGCTCGACAGTGTCATACTTTTCAGCAATGCGCATAGCATCCGGTCGGGGGAATTCGCTGAGGGAATAGTTCAACACATCGGCATAATAGTCATAGAGCGCCTCGATTACCTTCTTTAAATTGCTCATTTTTAGACGCCAATTGATGCCAACTTCAATTTTTATTTTCGACAGCCAAGTGTCGGTGAATGACTCAGGAGCAAATTGATTTAGGGCCTGGGCCATTGCAACGCCATCCGACAGTTCCTCTGCCGTTTCGTGTGGTGCTGGTAAATTCAGGGTTTTAAACCATTCCATTAAACTTTGACACATATCACCCATTTTATTGGTTCGCCGTTAATATTTTTTATTCGAAGCAAAAAGAAAGTTGTTAATAACAAAATAATAAATTAAAAAAATATCTTCTAATAAAAAACAGATGTTCAAGTGGCACGGCAACACATCAAACTAGACCAGCTGGGCTTAGTCAGTCAGTTATTTGTTAGTACGCCGGTATAATGAATAGTCCAATCACTGTACAATTTGACGGCGTTAAATTGTTATTTTGCGTGGTTTTATATTTGTCGGGATCGGGATCGGTGTTGAGAGTTTCTCTCTCTTGAGAGAGTAATTAGAGTTGCGCTATTTTTAAAACAAGCGTACTTTTTGTTCACAAAAGATATAGTACCAAAACAAAAATTAGATTTTTTTATTATCGTGAATACATTTACGTTTAAATTATAACATATATTATTTATGCAAATAACTGGTATAAATATTGGCCAATATTTCTCGATAATTATGATTTATTATCATTTGAAGTAGAATTTTAGGTACCTTTTCGTACTTTTTTGTTCCTACCTGTGGTAATGTTTTCCAACACAATTCACAATTTACCACTGAGAGAGAGAGAAACTCTCAACACCGATCCCGATCCCGACAAATATAAAACCACGCTTTCATATACTTAAGAGAACGAAAACAACTAAGATATAGGTATATGGTTATTTATTTCGTGGTTCCAAAAGTATACATAAACTAAGAATTGCCGCAAGGAAAATTGCCTAATGTAATTTTGGTAATTTTTTATAAAGTTTGAAGGTGGACATTATGTGTGATACACTGCGACATCATTTAAATGGTCTCCACGCGATTTGTTACAAACATTGATACTTTTGAGGTAATTTTCGACCAACATTTGCTTAAAAATCACGGATTTTGGATTTTAAGCGCTCTAAAATTAAATTCTATTTGCATACTTAGCTGTCTTGTGACAGAACATTTGTTCCAAAAGCCGAGCATAAAAAAGATCATGTTCCGAGATTCGTGGCCTTCCCCCTCTGCGTGAACCATCACTTAGCTCGCTTTTATAAGCATTTTGAGTTGGGGAATCATCATCCATTCCCACGACACCGTAGTCGCTGCAGCTCGATATGTCTGACTATGTCGATATCCGAGTATAGAGGGTACAACTCATGGTTCATTCGACTGCGATATTCACAATCGAGACAGATCTTCCGGAGAATTTTCCTCTAAAACACTCCAAGAGCTGCCTCATCTGCTTGCGCAATTACCCATCCTTCAGATCCATACAACAGCACGGGTAGTACAGCGTCTTGTAAAGTGTTAGTTTGGTTTGGCGAGAGGTGACATTGCTTTTGGGTTGCTTACTCAGACCCTAGTAGCATTTGTTGGCAATTTGCAATTTTTGTTTACATTTACATATCGTCTGACCTTTTCCAGCAGGATGTTAAACAGGTAACACGACAAATTGTCACCTTGTCTGAATCCTCGTTCGGCATTGAAGGTTCCGAGAGATCCTTCCCGACGTTAACTGCTGATCTTGTGCCAGTTAAAATTATCCTGCAGGCATGGCTTAAAACAGCTATAAAGGGACAGGGATGTCGAATACGGTTTTATAGTCGACGAATAGGTGGAATGTGTCGATGTGTTTTTCGTGAGACTTTTCTAGGATTTGGGCAGAGTGAAATTCTGATCTATGGTGGTTGAATTGGTATGGTCCAATAATGTCATTGACCATTGGCTTCAGTCATTCATCACGGACTCTTGAATTAAGAAATTCTAGATGATGAAGGTATTTTTATACCCACCACCATGAGGTGTACATTACAAATTCCTCAAAGCTATCGGGAGCTTTATATGGCAGTTATATCAGGGAAATTTTTTGATAGGAAGATTTGGCGCCCAACACATATCTAAAACATCGAACTATACTCAATTCAGTTAAAAAAATATCAATATGTCGGAATTTGGGAGGAGGCCAATGTTAATAATTTTTGAAAGGAGATTTAAAACCTATGCGAACCAAAAATTTAAATTACAGCTACTGAAACAATGCTCAAGTACCATAAAAAATTGATCAATATTGATCATTAGATTAATATTAATATAATAATAGATAAATATTGATATTTTAAATTGATTGATTGATATTTTAAATCTTCAATGCCGCTTTTTTATATAATATAATATATATATATATATTATAAAACACAGGTTATTTCCCATCCTGCTAAAAAAAACAACATAATTTCCGTTCGATAACACGATAACAGCACTAACGGCTGGCTATCAACGCCGTCATATAAAATGCATAACGGCTGGCTTTGTTTGCGTTTGACTCATAACTCATCAATGGACGCTATTGTGAATGATTGGCAGATGAAAAAATAATAACTACAGAGTGAAAATAAGAGTTCGTTCGTAATAATAAATACACACAGTCAAATAGGAAAAGGAAAGTTTTGGAATTAAACCACAAAGATTTATGGAAAATAAAACATGTTTAAAATAAATTATTAATAATATAATAGTAAAGAAAAAAAAAAACGATAGAAAACTTTGCTGCTGCTGGTAAAGTTGGCGGTGGTAGTGGACAGGTGGTGGTGGTGTTATTCTTTTGTGTTATTTTTCTCCCAAGGGGAAAATTAAATTTTGGGGAAAAAAAATACAAACAAATTGGAAAGAAAACATATTTGAAATCAAGTAAGTGAAATATAAAAAACAAGTAATTTACTAATAGTTATTTTAAAATAGTTTGTAATATTTTTTCCAACATTTTTAATGAGGGCCTTTATTGATTTTTCTCTATATATTTGCTTTTCTCCCCCTCATCACAGCAACTGTCAATTGTCTTGTTTGCCTTGGTAACGTTGCTTTCTGTGCTGTGCTGGTGGTTGCGATTGGCTATTGTGAAATATTACCACCATAAACATGAGTGCTCGAGCACGAAGGCCTGGCACTGGCAATAGCCAAACACTGAACGAATGTGTACAGGTGGTGGTACGATGCCGCCCCATGAGTAATAAGGAACGTTCCGAGGGATATGATGAGGTCATCAGTGTCTATCCGAAGCGTGGGGTCATCGAAATAGCCAATCAAACGGATAGCCAAAAGGAACAGCGCAAAGTCTTTACCTATGATGCTGTCTATGATCCGGGTGCCTCACAGACCACCGTGTACAATGAAGTGGTCTTCCCATTGGTCAGTTCGGTATTGGAAGGCTATAATGGCTGCATCTTTGCCTATGGTCAAACGGGTACGGGTAAAACCTTCACCATGGAGGGTATACGCGGCAATGATGAGCTGGTGGGTATTATTCCGCGCAGTTTCGAACAGATCTGGTTGCACATAAATCGTACCGAGAATTTTCAATTTCTTGTTGATGTTTCCTATTTGGAAATTTACATGGAAGAGTTGAGAGATTTGCTAAAGCCAAATTCGAAAAATTTAGAGGTGCGTGAAAGTAGTTCGGGTGTCTATGTGCCGAATTTGCATTCGGTGACGTGTAAAAGTGTGGAGGATATGATGAATGTCATGAAAGTGGGTAACAAAAATCGTACCGTGGGCTTTACCAATATGAATGAACACAGTTCCAGGTAGGAGGAGGAACCCACTTATTTTTTATTTTGAAAATAAAAAAATTGTTTTTGTTTGTCTTTCAGATCTCATTCCATTTTTATGATAAAAATCGAAATGTGCGACATTGAAACCAACACAATTAAGGTGGGCAAACTCAATCTGATCGATTTGGCCGGTAGTGAGCGTCAAAGTAAAACTGGTGCCTCAGCTGAACGTCTCAAGGAAGCCAGCAAAATTAACCTGGCCCTCTCGTCATTGGGTAATGTCATTTCCGCTCTGGCTGAAAACTCCCCACATGTACCCTATCGGGATTCAAAGCTGACACGTCTCTTACAAGATTCCTTGGGTGGTAATTCCAAAACTATTATGATTGCCAATATCGGTCCCTCGGCCTATAACTACAATGAAACCCTCACCACATTACGTTATGCCTCACGGGCCAAGGCCATTCAAAATCAACCAATAAAGAATGAAGATCCACAGGATGCTAAACTCAAGGAGTACCAAGAGGAAATCGAACGCCTCAAACGTTTGATAGGTTCCAAACAGCAACAACATGTCAAAGTGGAAAAACCCATCAAGAAGGTGGTGGTGAAGAAACCCAAAGAACGCAAAGAAAAACAACACAAAGAAATGGGAGAAAGTGTGCAATCATCGGCAGGTGGTGCAGCACTCAATGATAATGCCATTGATGCAGACGCGGCCACTGGCGGCGCCGTCAACGAAGAAGAGGAATCCGATAAAGAAAATGAAGTCGAAGAAGAGGTGGCCAAAACCAATGAACAGCTGGAAAGTGAACGTTTGGAAACCGCCAAATTGGCCGCCAAACTAAAGGAACTCGAATCTCAAATGGTAAGGGGTGGCAAAAATCTCCTCGACACCTACAGCGAACGACAAATTGAATTGGAAAAGAAACTTGTAGAGATTGCGGAACGTAAAAAACGTGAAATTGAAATGCAACAAAAATTGGAGCTGCAAGAGGAGACCACTTTGGAAATACGCGAAACTGTCACCTCCCTCGAACAGGAGGTGGAATTGAAGAAGCGTAAACTCTCCAAATGCTATGCGAAATTTTTGGCCTTACAACAGGAATTAAACGATTGTAAATTTGAACACAATCAGGATTTGCGAGAATTGGAAATGGCCCAAAATGAATTGGTAAAGGAATTAAAACGCCAGCTGTTGATCATTGATAACTTTGTGCCGGTGGAGGTCAAACAAAGATTGTATACCCAAGCCAAATATGATGAGGAACAGGAGGAATGGAAATTCTCTGCCCTGCCTGTGGGCAATGATGGCACCTTTAATACCAAACGTCCTGTCTCACATCCCCAAAGAAGGCGTCCCATTTCGGAATATGCCATACTCGAGGCTAAGTCGAATACCAGCGAGGCGGGCTTACGCTTTAAGAGTGAAAACATTGTCTCCTATGAATTGGAAATGCCATGTCGCACTACTCAGGAATATAAGACACCAAAAATATCCGCTTCGCTACAGGCTGTACTGGCCCAGGCCATGCAGACCGGTGATGACATAGACATTGTTGAGAATCACACCAATTCCATACGCAGTCGTTTGGAAAGTATCATAAATGCTAGTGCTAATGCGGCAGCAGCAGCGGCGGCGGCAGCTGCCAACAGTAATGGCAGTAATATGAATGGTCATGGCCCAGCGGCGGCAAATGGTGTGGGAGGTGGTGGTGCACCTACTGCCAATGGCATTAGCCGCATTAAATCTAGTCGTATTGCATCAGGTATACCACCATCCGCTGCCATGGATTCGAATAGAAGACCACCAACTGGTCGTCCGGCAACAACAGCCAAGAAGCCTGTATCAGCTTATCCCAAAGCTAGAGGTCTAGTCACAAAATGAACTCCGGCCACAAAAGAAATCGCAAAATGACCAAAAAACAAATGAAAAGAAAAAAATCGTTAAACAAAAAAACAATTGAAATGAATAGCAAAAATTTTGAACAAAAAAGTGAAGCAGCTATAAATTATTTTCCCCCCCAATCATTTATGTGTTTTGTCTTTATATGGTTCGAAAACAAAAAACTATTCACCCACTCTCACACTCATAACGCCCCTCCATATATGTCTCCTCCTCTCGACTTAATATTACCACGATAATGTCGAGGTGGATGACGACAACAACTCTTCTTCTCTATCTCCTAGTGCAATATGTTCATAAGAAAAGAAAAAATATATGTAATGTTCGATCGCTTTTAGCTTAATTTATTTGTATGTTTGTTTATTATTTTATAAACATTACGATAATTGTATTTGTGAACTGCATTTCTTTAATTTATAAGTTAACATAGTAGTTACATATGTTTTTATTTGTTTTATATTTTTTCATGTTTTGTATTTTTTAATTTTAGCATTTTTTTTTTATTTTTTGCACAAAACTTTTTATTTTTTTGACAAGAAAAAAAATAAAGAAAGACACTCAAAAACAAAAAATATTAGGTTTTCATTCTTACAGGCCTATACATATTATTTAAAAATCAAAATTATATTCTTTAAGAATCCACGCCTCTTATGGGCCTTGAAAAAATATTCTTTAAAAATGCACGCCTCTTATGTGCCTTGAAAAATATTCTTTAAAAATCCACGCCTCTTATGGGCCTTGAAAAAATATTCTTTAAAAATCCACGCCTCTTATGGGCCTTGAAAAAATATTCTTTAAAAATCCACGCCACTTATGGGCCTTGAAAAAATATTCTTTAAAAATCCACGCCTCTTATGGGCCTTGAAAAAATATTCTTTAAAAATCCACGCCTCTTATGGGCCTTGAAAAAATATTCTTTAAAAATCCACGCCTCTTATGGGCCTTGAAAAAATATTCTTTAAAAATCCACGCCTCTTATGGGCCTTGAAAATTTTTTCTTTAAAAATCCACGCCTCTTATGGGCCTTGAAAAACTATTCTTTAAAAATCCACGCCTCTTATGAGCCTTGAAAAAATATTCTTTAAAAATCCACGCCTCTTATGGGCCTTGGAAAAATATTCTTTAAAAATCCACGCCTCTTATGGGCCTTGAAAAAATATTATTTAAAAATCCACGCCTCTACTAGGCTATCCCTTGGAAAAATATTCTTTAAAAAATCCACGCCTCTACTAGGCTATCCCTTGGAAAAATATTCTTTAAAAAATCCACGCCTCTACTAGGCTATCCCGTGGAAAAAATATTCTTTAAAAAATCCACGCCTATAACAGGCTATCCCTTGGAAAAATATTCTTTAAAAAATCCACGCCTCTACTAGGCTATCCCTTGGAAAAATATTCTTTAAAAAATCCACGCCTATACTAGGCTATCCCTTGGAAAAATATTCTTTAAAAAATCCACGCCTATAACAGGCTATCCCTTGGAAAAATATTCTTTAAAAAATCCACGCCTCTACTAGGCTATCCCTTGGAAAAATATTCTTTAAAAAATCCACGCCTATACTAGGCTATCATTAAAAAATCCACGGCTATCCCTTGGAAAAATATTCTTTAAAAAATCCACGCCTTGAAAAATATTCTTCAGAAATTAATGTTAAATGAGCCACCTCATTTATTTATTTGTATGGAATGAAAATAAATTATTTATTTAAATAATAATACATATATAAAATAATATACATAAATCAATTGCCACATCAACGTAGTGTGTTATATTTATTTGTCCAAATTTAATGTCCCCGTCTTTTCGACTAAATCTAATAATGCCTGCAGTTTATTATCGAATAGCTCACAACGTATTGGCATTTCCAGTGAATAGAAAGGATTCTTTAGAGCATAATCCGAATATAGTTCGTAAATCTTTCGCAATAATATGTCCATACCACTAAGGCCCGTTTCACTGATCACTATAAACTTAACACCCGTCAGCGTTTGAAAACAATGCAAGGTAAAAGTGTCGGTTTCCAACGTTTCAATACCAGAACTTTTCGGTTCTGGACTCAGTTGACTCGCAATGGCAAATAGCGGATAAAACATACTGGCCAAAAAGATTTTCTCATTTGTTGTCATTTTGGGACGGCTGAATTTCAGATTCAATGGATAATTTTCGGCATTTTCTAAGACCTCTTTAACGTCGCGACCATCTTCTAAAGTGGCACCGTTTACTTGGCTACCATTTACCGCAACGAGAACATGGCCAACTGGAAATAAATTCAAGGGCGTTATTAGTCCATTGTTTCTGCTGGATATTCCATAGGCTTTGCTTACCATTTATCCCATCTTTACGATTGAAAGCCACACTGACTTTTTTGGGATTGTAATCCAACATTAGATCCAGAGGATAGCTAAATGTTTTTTCATGTTCTATCCTGGGCACATTGTTGTCCAAATTGAAAATGAGACCACCAGATTTGCTGACTATATAGACGCCGTAAATAATCATTTTTATTTTTTGAAACAAATCTAAACAATTTTTATGTTTTTTTATTGTAATTCTAGGCTCTAGAATGGATGGTCTTGTCAACAACAGCTGATTTATGTTTACAAGACTCTTTGGTTGGAAAACACACTAAGGAGGCATCACATGATGAAAAATTTAAATGACATGTAAATGCAAGGAATATTTTTTCAAGGGATGCTAGCAGAGGCTTTGATGTTTTAAAGAATATTTTTTCTAGGGCCATCTGAGCCGTAGATTTGTAAAAGAAAATTTTTTCAAGCATCAACAGAGGTGTAGATTTTTAAAAGAATATTTTTCCAAGGGATAGCCTATCCAAGGCGTGGATTTTTAAAAAAATATTTTTCCAAGGGATAGCCTATCCAAGGCGTGGATTTTTAAAAGAATATTTTTCCAAGGGATAGCCTATCCAACGCGTGGATTTTTAACAGAATATTTTCCAAGGGATAGCCTATCCAAGGCGTAGATTTTTAAAAGAATATTTTTCCAAGGGATAGCCTATCCAAGTCGTGGATTTTTAAAAGAACATTTTTCCAAGGGATAGCCTATCCAGGTCGTGGATTTTTTAAAGAATATTTTTCCATGTCCTGGCGATTACGTTGCCTTTACGTTACGTTTCCACTAATTCAGCTGTTTTGGCAGCTGCCAAACAAAACCTTAGCAACTGCTGAAACAGCTGTTTTTTGACAATTCGATTTTACAATCTGTGTATATTTTCTTGTGGAAAGAAGAACCACCATACACATCAAGTGCAGAGAGTTCCGAATAAAGTTTCAAAAAAAAAACATAGGAAAAGAAAAACAAATTAATATATTTTCAACACCTCCAACCAGTTTTACGATAATTCCAGCAAAGTGGAGAAAATGGGCTCAGATGACACCAGTACCAATTCCAGTGAAGCCTTTGTCGAACGCGGCGAGCGCATACAGAAAGGATTCCAAATCAATTATATGATTTTACGTGATGCCGATACGGGCAAGGTGATTTGGCAGGAAAACAAAGATTTCTCCTCGCCCGATGTGGAACATGAGGCCAGGGTGCCAGTGAAAATACTCGATTTGAGGGCAGTGTCACGGGAAATCAATTTCAGCACCATTGAGGCAATGGAAAACTTTCGCCTGGATCAAAAGGTGCTCTTCAAGGGACGCATTATGGAGGAGTGGTTCTTTGAAATGGGTTGGGTGGGAGCGAATACCACAAATACCTGGCAATCGACCATAGAGGCGGCGCCGGAATCACAAATGATGCCTGCTAAGGTTCTAAATGGTAATGTGACCATACAAACCTGTTTCTATGACAACGATACACTCATCACCAAATCTGTAGTGCGACTTTATTACATATAGACAGGCTACAAAGGCGATGACGACGATGACAGTTTCTCAGTGACCTCGACAATGTTGATTAGAGCAACAACAACCATTACATCAATAAACTACTACATTGCCTGTTCATTTTAGTAACCACCAAAAGACAAGCTAATGGAATGACATCTCCAAAATTACAACAACAACATCATCAACAAAACAAAATCAACTTACAACAACTAAAATAAGACATGGTTTTGAATCAGCCAGGCAGCCAGCCAGCAGCCGTGATGTCTGCCCACACAAAATGATTTTAATTTTTTGTTGTTTTTTTTATTATTTCTTCTGCTTCATTATATTTCATCGATTATTTGATCTCTTCTCTACTGGGCTCCCACAACCAAAAAATGATTTACACTTTTTATTCGTGGTCAGTTTAATGGCACTTTTTTTGGAGATACTATATATACATACGTCTAAATCTACATTTGTTGGAGATACTCGAAAACAACGACATACCTACATTAATTATACGCGCCAAAACATTTGGAAGTACTGGAAATTTGTTAAAAGCATTTCTTAAGAAAAACAAAAATTACTAAATATTTATTAATACCTATAATAATGTGTATTTAAATCTATATATATTAATATAACACACCTACAACACACATACACCAACACAAAAAAGTGGCTATACTTTAGTATATTTGTGTGTGTGTCTGTTTGTATGTATGTTTATTTTTAAAACATTTTTGTTTTGCATTTCTTTGAATAGTCGAATCGAATAATTTTTTTATTTTACGATGCCACCGCGCCAACAACATCCATAGAACGAAAAAAGAACGGACTTTTCTTTTCGTTTTTGTTCGTATGCAATTCAGCTATTAACATATATACATATATATATATAAATAAGCAATAAAACAACAAACTAGAAAAATAATAATGTAATATGAATTTAACATATACACATAAGTATGTATACATATAGATTTTTAATTTATAATATTTAATTTAATTTAAAAAATAATTAAAATTAACGCTTGTTTTTTAAATATTACTAATATGTTTAAATTGAAATAAAAAAAAACAAACAAATCTGTTAATCAAATTAATTATGTACATAGTTTTATTTTGCTTTACTCAGGTGGACAATTTTATTAAAAAGGTGTAGCGTAGTTGTGTTCTTCAATAATCAGTTTAGGTTCTCCTTTTATATCCTCCACCATAGTATGGAGGGTATATTAGTTTTGTTTTTCCGTTTGTAACGCATCGAAATAATGATTTTCGAACCTATAAAGTATAGGTTCGAAAATAGCCTCCATAAAAGGGTACCCCCAATTGTCGTTATTTTGAGGTTCTTGAGCGCGTTTTTTCGACCGAATTTACTGAAATTTGGTACTTTGAGTTCTCCCAATCTCCCTACTAAAAATTATAAAAATGGGTCCATTTTTCCGATAGCCTCCATATAAGGGTACCCCCAATTTTCGGTATTATGGGGGTTTTGATCGCATTTTCCGACCGAATTCACTGAAATTTGGTACTTTGAGTTCTCCAAATCTCCCTACTAAAAATTATAAATATAGGTAAATTTTTTCGTATAGCCTCCATATAAGGGTACTCCCAATTTTCGGTATTTTGGGGGTTTTGACTGCATTTTTCGACCGAATTCACTGAAATTTGGTACTTTGAGTTCTCCTAATCTCCCTACTAAAAATTATAAATATAGGTAATTTTTTTCGTATAGCCTCCATATAAGGATACTCCAAATTATGGGATTCTTGGGTGCGTTTTCGGTATTTTGGGGGTTTTGACTGCATTTTTTGACCGAATTCGCTGAAATTTGGTATTTTGAGTTCTCTCAAAATTATAAATATTGGTCCATTTTTTTCGGATAGCCCCCTATATAAGGGTACCCCCAATTTTCGGTATTTTGAGGTTCTTGAGCGCATTCTTCAACCGAATTTACTGAAATTTGGTACTTTGAGTTCTTATTATGTAGCAAATCTGCCCACTAAAAATTATAAATGTAGGTCCACTTTTTCTGGTAGTCCCCATATAATGGTACACCCAAATTTTAGGTATTTTGGGGATTCTGCTCGTATTTTTTGATGGAATTGGCTGTAATTTAGTTCTTCGATTTACATTTGGGTAGCAAATCACCCCACTAAAAATTATAAATATATATCCATTTTTTCGGATACCCCCATATAAGGGTACTACCCAATTTTCGGTATTTTGGGGTTCTTGAACGCGTTTTCTACCGAATTCGGTGCAATTTGGTATTTTGTAGTCGTATATGGTAACAAATCACCCCATCGAAAATTATTAATATTCGCCCCCTTTTTGGGGTAGTTCTCATATAACCCCCTTTTTATACCCTCCACCATAGTATGGAGGGTATATTAATTTTGTCATTCCGTTTGTAACTCATCGAAATATTTATTTCCGACCCTATAAAGTATATATATTCTGTCTGTCCGTCCGTCTGTTGTAATCACGCTCTTCTGAAGGAATTGAAATAGGGTGCTGAAATTTGGCATAGGGATGTCTTTTGTCTGCAGGCAGGTCAAGTTCGAAGGTGGAATATATCGGTCCACGTTTAGGCATAGCACCCATATAAGGGTACCCACCAATTTTCGGTATTTTGGGGTTCTTGACCGTGTTTTTCAACCGAATTCGCTAAAATTTGGGGTTGGGTTCTTATTGGGTACTAAATGTCTCCACAAAAAATTATGGGTATAGGTCCACTTTTTCTGGTAGCCCCCATATAACGGCACCTTCTAGCTTTCAGTATTTTGGGGTTTTTTTATCGTATGTTTACATCGAATTGGCTGTAATTTAATATTTTGAGTTCTTAATAGGTACCAAATTTCTCCACAAAAAATTATGAATATAGGTCAATTTTTTCGGGTATCCCCCATATAAGGGTACCCCAAATATTCGGTATTTTGGGGTTCTTGAGCGAATTTTTCAACCGAATTCGCTGCAATTTGGTATTTTGTAGTCGTATATGGTAACAAATCTCCCTACCAAAAATTATTTATATTCGCCCTCTTTTTGGGGTAGTCCCCATATAACCCCCTTTTTTATATTAAAATAGTTGTCTAATTTGTTACGCGTTTTGGGTTTGGTTCTAAGAGTCTGTCGTAAGTATTTAACCTGCGGAGGATATCGAGATAAAGTTAGAACGTAAGGTTCGATAATGAACTATACATGAACTATAACCCGCATTTAGGCCTAGCGCCTGTGGGAGGTATCAGAGGGAGTGGACCGATAGTCCACATTTTCGAACCTGAACTAAGTTTGGAAGAATAATAAGATAGGCACAGGTTGGATGAAATAAACATTTTCTGGGACATGGTTCACATTATGGTTTACATAATCGCGTTGTAGAAATGTCGGTATAGGTCCACTTTTTGGTATTTTCTCTACATTTTCATTTCAACTACCTTTTAGTATATCAATGGTGGAGGGCATCCAAAGTTCGGCCCGGCCGAACGTAACGCTTTTTCACTTGTTTACATTAAAATAGTGTGATATTCCCCATCTTCGAACTTGAACTAAATTTGGAAGAAATAATAAGATGGGCAAAGTTTCGATGAAATCAAAATTTTATTCCAAATAAACATGGGGTCTAGAACCAATATTTCGATGAGGCACACCTTCACCGTGTTCATTAGCCAACAGGCTGGATAATTATACCATCCATTAAAAATTTCTGAAATTTGTATTATGGTTTACATAATCGTTTTGTAGAAATGTCGGTAACGGCCCACTTTTTGGCATTTTCCCTTCATTTTCATTTTGATACCAGTCAGTATGGTGGAGGGTATGCAAAGTTCGGCCCGGCCGAACTTAACGCTTTTTCACTTGTTTTAATTCAAATTGAAACGAGTCTACTTTAGGACCCGCCTTTTTTGATTACACGGTAATTGGTAATTGTTTTCTTACGGTAATACTTCCTGAAAGCGCCACTAAGGTGATAATGAATCTTCAGCTACTCGATTTACTAACTCGTTTTCAGGCAACAAGAAGCGCATTTAGCATGAAGGATATGGGGACATGGCGAACTTTACACAATGTCTTAAACTTGACTGAAGTTTACGAACTCTGTTACAATAGAAATTCAAGTGACTACCCCCAGACCTTAATTTGAAGAAATCTGAAATAACAACACTTGGGCGGATGAGCTTTTATCTTTTGGCGGTCTGTCAATATATACAGACTTGATGGAAGAAGGCACTGGTGCGGTAGTTTTCTGTGACGAACTTGAAGCCAGGAACTCATACAAGCTAAGAGATTTTAGCAATTTTGAAAGCAGTGGAGTTAGTCAAGGAACTGTTCCCTATTAACTCATTACCGGTCACTATATTTGCCGAAAAATATCCGTAAGTTTTATAATGAGAATTGAGAATCTAGGTATAGGATTTCAAAATCTATGCAGAAAAGAGATAAATATGCAGATCAGATCTCATTTTGTCCCATGCCTCGATGTAGAAGGCATCAACTTTTTAATAGATTTGATATAGAAACGCTAATATTTTTCTTCGAAGTAGATCCCAAAAAAGGTTAATATTGGATTTAAAAATATTGAACCTTTTTTGGGGGAGATGCCAGAAGGAGTGGTAAAATTAGGTAGAAATATTATTAAATAATCTGTTCGTTCCATGAGAGATTTACAAGTTTTCAAAAGGTTGGCTCTTTGTGAGGGAGGTACTAGAAGGAGTGGACCGATAAGTCCCATCTCCCAACAATATAACGTCACAATTAAAATATTAGGTTTGGATCAAATCTGACATTCTATTGGCCTAATATTGGATTTATAAAAATTGAAAAGGTTGACCCAGGGTGGGGGGGCCTAAATGTAATATTTTTTGCAAATTTTGGTTCAAATCCGATAGTCCGTTCACCTAATATTATTATTAACAATTATATTATATTATTATTAATTTTTAGCAAAATTTTAAAAATTTTGTGGGGGAGGTGCAAGAAGGATTGAACCGATGTGGCCCACCTTCGAACTTAAATTAAGTATGAA